TGTTCCTGGCACTTTTGACCTGATGTTCCTACAGATCCTGAGCCACTGAGTTTTTGAGCAAGCGCATCTGTTTATGATCCCTTTAAGACCTGCAGTGCCTAGGTCTCCCGCAGCCCTCTGTCTAAATGGGACATTATAATTCCCCCCCCCCCCCATTTTTCACAGCAGATGTTATGGGGACTCCTCTTCCTGGTACTGGTGCCCCAAACGGAAGCACCTGGTGTGGAGCTGAGACTCCTCAATCCTTAGGGCAGACCTTTGGGGCTAAAATATCCCTCTCAATTGTCAGTTGCCACCCTGTGGGTGGGACCTGCCAGTTCAGCGTCTCTGCCCCTTCCACTAGTCTTGACATGACTTCTTCTTTCAATCATTTATGTACTATTTTGTGGGTGTTTTTTTTTTGTTTGTTTTGTAAGAGAACATTTATTCGGCAAATTATAAAGGTAGAAAAGTAATTCCAAGAAGCAAACAAGTTATGGAGGTAAAGGAAGGGCCCTTGGAGTTTGGGAGTGGGGAAGCTAATGGTAATGTGGGGGGAGGGGGAAGGCAAGGGCGAGCTCCCTGGAGGGAGAGCACCCTATTTTGTTTTTTAAAGATTAAAAAAAATTTTTTTAAATAGAGAAGAAGGGAGAGAGAGAGAGAGAAACATCAATGTGAGTGCGAAACATTCATAGGATGCCCCTGCACACCCTTTACCTGGGTTTGAGGACACAACCCGGCATATGCCCTGACCGGGAATGGAACCAGCAACCTTCTGGTGCACGGGATGACACCCAACCAACTGAGCCACAATGGTCAGGGATATATATGTACTCTCTTGAGGGTGGTGAAATCCTCTATAGGATTTCTGCTCAGCTAGTTTTCAGATGGTTCTCAAGAATGGTTGTGCTATAATTTAATTGTAATTTTCATAGCAGGAGGTGAGCACAGAGTTTACCTATTCTACAGTCTTGACTGGAAGTCAGGTTTTAGCTTTTAAGATAAGTAAACAGATCTCTTTCACAGAAAGACATGTGTGTTTCAGTAGGCTACCTCTGCACTGTGCGGTGGGGGGACCCTTTTATATCTCAGTTCGCTATAGCCTTGTGAGTCTCATGGACATAAGACCCATTGCTATCAAAGCCAGATGTTTGGGGGGCTCATCTCTCAGGTGTTGGACTTAAATGATGGGGTGCCAGATGTGAAGTTCAAACACTGCACTCCTCAGGGAGAAGTTCCGAGATGGGTTCCCGCCTGATTGTGGGTCACCGTGCCATGGGTGAGATGTATGGAGAGATTGTGTTTCAGGTTCTCCTACCCATTTTGAGTGGGTTTTTCTCCACCTAGTGTGTAGAAGTTGGTCAGCTAGCTTTTGGATGGCTTTCAGAAGGAATTGTTCTGTGTAGCTGTAGATTTGATGTGCTGGGGAAGAGGTTAGTTAAGATCCTCCTATGTCACCATCTTGAATGGGATGTTCAGCTTACAAGACCCAATAGGAAAAAAAAAGTAGAGAATTAAAAAAAAAAGACCTCATAGCTAGAAAGAATTTTATTATATTTCTTAAAGAGCCTTTAAGTATTTTGGTACAGCGATATTTTAAACAATGGAGGATAGTAGGGAGCAGAAAGTGATATCCATTTGCTTTCTTGAGAACTTACTTCTAATTTGACACAAGGAAGGCCCAAACCTGTAGAACATGTTTCTGTTGCTTTCAGCCAAACTGGTGACAATGGACTGGACACAGGATCTCACATACTTCAGAGAATGATAATTTTGAAAGTCACTTTTATGCATTTGAAATTAAGGAGGGAATGTAAGAAAGATTACATGAAAGTGAGAAAAAGCAAGGTAGAGATGGAATACAGGATAGTTACTCTCTTGAAGGTGGTTAATTCAAAGATGTGTTAACCTTGATGCCCTAAAACATGGGCAGAGATTCCTTAAGACAAAGATAAAACTTTTACAAAAAAAAAAAAAAAGTTGTGTGTGTGGGTATGACTACTCACCGTGACCTGCCCAGTGAGGAAATTATAACCAGATCACTCTATGAGGTTACATTCCATAGAATCCACTTTTGTCTACACTACACAAATCTTGGGACTTGTAAAAATATCCAGCTGATAGTATTTCCTATGCACACTGTTGTGTGTCTGTAATTTAAAATATACTAGTGATTGCCCTAACCAGTTTGGCTCAGTGGATGGAGCGTTGGCCTGCGTGCCGGGAGCCGGTCCATGCTCGCTGTTTCAAGGGACCTGGCATATATGGCATACTGTTCTTAATATGTTTGCTCACCTTCTTGGCACTATGTGTTTTAACCAAGGTCACCTCTCTGAGAAAGGTTGTTTCCCCAGGTAGGGATTTTCCCCTGAAGTTAGGGAGGGAATAAAACCCCTTAACTAAGTGCCAAGCGGGTAATTAATCACTTTAACTACATAGAACAATCATGCTTAAGCTACATAATCTTTACTCCCTGGAATGGAGATAAGAAACGCCCTAACTTTTGGAATAGAGATTGATAGGATTGGAATCAACTGGTATAAATACAGATGTAACAAGACAACAGGACACAGAACCTAGACACAGAACCTACACAGAACCTAGAGACAGAAGAACTTCGCTGGAGAGAACATGGCAAAAGATCCTGGACAGAAACTGGCCACAGAACCTAGAGGCAGAACCTAGCGAGAGAACCTGGCTGAAGAACCTAGAGACAGAACCTGGCTACAGAACCTGGATAGAACATGGCAAGAGAACATGACTAGAACCTGGTGACTGAACCTGGATGGAGAATCTGGACAGAACCTGGCTGGAGAACTTAGCGAGGGAACATGGCTACAGAACCTGGCTGGAGAACCTGGAGAACCTGGCTGGAGAACCTAGCAAGAGAACATGGACACAGAACCTGGCTGGAGAACCTAGCAAGAGAACATGGACACAGAACCTGGCTGGAGATCCTAACCAGAACTTCTCTGGAGATCCTGACCAGAACCTGGCTAGAGATCCTGGCTAGGCTGCTGATCAACTGAACGCTGTCTCTGTGTCATTCCTTCTTCACCGACTCCGTCCACACCTTTGGGGACCCCTGGACCTGCTGGGGCTGGACCCCAGCACCTGCGGACTGAAAGGTCCCAGGTTTGATTCCGGTCAAGGACATGTACCTTGGTTGTGGGCACATCCCCAGTGGCGGGTGTGCAGGAGGCAGCTGATCGATGTTTCTCTCTCATCGATGTTTCTAACTCTATCCCTCTCCCTACGTCGCTGTAAAAAAATCAATAAAATATTTCAAATATACTAGTAATTGAAATATAAACATGCATATGAAGTTTTCCATAAATTTAAGATTTAAGATGCAAATGAAAGCATTCTGGGTATTTTAAAAAGATAGCCAATAATAGGAAAAAAAAGTTTGAACTCTTTATGAGTGAAAAACTTACTTTTTTACATAGCCCAAACCAGATGATTAATATAAAAAGAAATCATTGTAAAAGCTGACATAAGGTGGAGCCAGAGCAGCTGTTCTAGAGAAATGTCCTTGCATGTCTTGCTCCTTAAACCTTTGGAATGTTTGAACTGGGCAAAACAACTTTTGTCTAAGCCAAAGCAACAGTGTCTTATAAACAAATGTTTGTAAAGCCAGCAGGGTTGCAGATCCTGACCACAAGGACTGACCACTATGGACTCTCTATTTGAAGACAGACTCAGTAACCAACCCTGCATAGGTAAAGAGTACCTCCGCCTTCCAGGGCCAATAGGAATTCTTTCTTCTAATATTCTCATAAAACCCCTTCATTTTCACCCAATAATTGGGATACTTTATGGGTTTCTGCCTGAACTTGTACTGTGTGAATGGCAATTCTTTAATCCCAAATAAAAATTGTTAGCTTTCATCTTGGTTTTTAAGTTTTAAGTAAACATCATAAAACCATAAATACCAAAATGTTTAAAATTATATTTGCTTTCAAAGGTGTTTCAAAGCTACAAAGAATTACTAAAAATCAGAAATTTCAAAGCATAATCTTGGTTTATGCTCCAGGATTTACTTTAAGTTTTTCATTAAATTGTTAATTATTTCATTAAAATTTAAGTTTGATCAAAGTTTAAAATCCCTATTCTCCTTAGAAGATATGTATTTGTACACTTTTTTTTCTATTGTAAGCCTAGCCTTTCCTTGTTTTTTTAATCATCACCTGAGGATATGTTTTTATTGATTGTGAAAAAGAGGGAGAGCGAGACGGGGAGGGAGGGGGCGAGAGAAAAAGGGAGAGAGAGAGAGAGAAAGAGAGAGAGAGAGAGAGAGAGAGAGAGAGAGAGAGAGAGAGAGAGAGAAGAGAGAGAGAAACCTGTTGGTTGCCTTCCATATGTGCCCAGACTGGGGATCGAACCAGCAACACAGGCACATGCCCTAACTGAGAATCAAATCTACATATGGGACTACACTCTACCAACAGTGTCACCTGGTCAGGTGCTTCTCCATTTTTATAAATAAAATGGCAAATAAAGTTAATGAGGTACCTTGTAAATATTACCCTTCTCTGTCCCTTTAACTTTAATCCATCAGTTTACTACAGCCTAGACAAATTAAGAGAACATCAGAGAGAAATCAAATCGTGTTGCTTCTAATTTCCCAGTTTAAATTGTATAAATAAAAATTCGAAATGAAATCAAATTGGCCATTTGAATACGACATCTACATAGCTTCTTACAAAATTCCTCTTCTGCAGACAAATGGAAGCTTTCATCCTAAAAATTCCAGTGGGCATACTTTAAAGTCTCCACAATGAACTATTTGAAATTTAATCCTGGCCACTCGCTCACTTTAGGAAATAGGGTATATCTAGAATTGGGAAGGCCCGATCATGGTCCATGATTTGCTGCAGAACTTAAAACTCAAACCTCACACAAAAAAACTTTCTTACAGTCATAATAACTAAATTATTATGCGAAGATTATTCCTGTTGCAATGATGCAAAAGGCAGCTGAAACTGATTTTAATAAAGAACTTTATTTCAGATGGCACACTAATGTAGCACGTTTTAAAAATAGAGGGTAAGCAATACAAACAAAAGCAACACAAAAGTATGTCAAGAGTGAGAAGGACCAATACATGAGAATAAATGTTTAATTTACCCTTTCTTCGCTCTGTGAAGACACTTGTACACGGAGATGAAAATTACTGCAATGCCAACAACTGTAAGGAACCAGAAAATAAATGACATGTAACTCTGAAAAAATAATTTCCAAGATTCAAGCTCTAGAAGAAGAAATTACTGTCAGTTACATTTCAGTGCTCAAAAGTGTTATTGTTTCTAAGCACATACACATTTATATTCCATCTGGATTTTTCACTAAGTGCAATTCCCTGGAATCACTTAACTAGTCCACAGTAAGTCAGAGAAGTGTCCTGTTTAGTTTAGAAAATTACCCATATTTGAGATGAAAAGTCATTTGACTAATCATCTTGGGAAAAAAAGTATTATTTTGGGTTTGTTACTAAGTGGACATATAGAAAACTGTATAAATGAATATACAGTCACCAACAACAGGTGTATATCGTACGAAAGGTCCATTTTTTCTACACTGGTTTAATTTCAATTTATAACACCTATAAAAACTGAAAAATCATCAGAAAAGAATGCACTCTATGTAATAGAAAAGAATGTAATATTTTTATTTCAATGGTGTTTAAGTGTGAGATACTTACATATAGTAAGACTAAATAGAGCAATGGTTCCTGGTGCTGAGAAAAAAAAAAAGTAGTTTTAAAGATATTGAGCAAGTATGGGTCCCAGATAGCAGTTTTTTGTTTGTTTTGTTTGTTTGTTTGTTTGTTTGTTTACTTTTGATCTGATTATCTAAAAACTACAGAAAAAAGGAATCGTTCTAGTATTAACATGACTGCTAGTATATCCAAATCGCTTTACTCAAAGAACACTTCAAATAGATTCCGGCTATAGGATGTGCCTTGTGAAACTCTTAATAGGAACCTCACTTGTCATTGCTTTGTGCTATCGTTACCACACCAGGTTATTTAGTAAAGGTTAATAGGACAACTAAAATTCTCAAGATTAGAGAAAATTACTTGCATGTGTCTATACATACTATCACATTTGTTATGGTATCCGCAATACTAAAGTAACCATAAATATCAATTATTCCTAATAACTTGTGACATCTTGTTTTTTCTCTGTCTACAAATAATTGGAACATAATATATTCATGTAGAACTCTAAGGTCTCATAATAAAGAATTATTAAGAACTAAACTAGCCGAAACCAGTTTGGCTCAGTGGATAGAGCGTCGGCCTGCGGACTCAAGGGTCCCGGGTTCGATTCTGGTCAAGGACATGTATCTGGGTTGCGGGCACATCCCCAGTGGGAGATGTGCAGGAGGCAGCTGATCGATGTTTCTCATAGATGTTTCTAACTCTCTATCTCTCTCCCTTCCTCTCTGTAAAAAATCAATAAAAAAATATATTTAAAAAAAAAAAAAAAAAAAAAGAACTAAACTAATGCCCTAGCAGGTTTGGCTCAGTGGCTAGAGCGTCGGCCAGTAGACTAAAGGGTCCTGGGTTTGATTCCGGTCAAGGGCCCGTAGCTCGGTTGCAGGCTCCTCCCCAGCCCAGGCCCTGGCCAGGGCTCCCGCAGCAGGCAACCAATGGATGTGTTTCACATTGATTTTTCTCTCTATCTTTGCCTCTCTCTTCCACTCTCCAAAAAAATCAATGAAAAAATATCCTCGGGTGAGGATTTAATAAAAGAAGAAGAAAGAAACTAATACCTAATTCCACAATCTCTTCAGATGATGATACTTCACGAAGGTTGAGATATCCTAGAAAAAAATTGAAATAAAGAAAAGAGAAAAGATTAAACTCCTAAATATCAACAACAAAAATCCCAACTCAATTCAAAACTGAGCAAAGGACCTGAATGACATTTCTCCACAGAATAGATACAAATAGTGAATACGTGCATAAAAAGATGTGTACACATCACTAATCAAGGGGGAAATGCAAATAAAAACCACAATGAGATACTACTTCACATATTTTACCTACCAGGTATTAGGATGGCTATTATCAAAAAACAGAAAAGAACATGTGTTGGCCAAGAGGTAAAGAAATTAGGATCTTTGTGCATTGCTGGTGGGAATATAAGATGGTGCAACTTCTGTGGGAGACTGGAGCACCTATGAATTTAGAACACCTATGAGTTTAGTGTGTGATAAAACAGTTGGAGAGAAGACAATCCGTTCCATAGACGGTGCAACTTAGCCACTGAATGGGGGTGGGTGAAGTGGAGAAGAAACCAATCCGATCCCATATTCCATAATGAATTTCAGACATATCAATGATTTAAATGCAAAACAATGAAATCAGAACCCATGGTTGAGGTGTTTATATAACTTGAAGACTTAAAGCTTTTAATAAGGAAGACACAATACTCAGAGCCATTAGGGAATAGTTCAATACATTCAACTCTTCTGCACATATAACTGTCCATTCTAGGAGAATAGCTAAATAAAATGTGGCATATATTAAAGTTGTCACTAAAAAGGATGGGAATAAATCTAAATACAACCCCAATCTAAGATAGTAAGTGTAAAATGTGAGAGTTTTAGAAAAATATGAACAACATGAGTCTATTTCTGGTTAAGAAAACTGAAAAAAAAGGCAAAATATGTATAACCAGTCATATAAGGACATGATATGTCCTTATATGAAATGGATAAAAAGAGACTTCAATTATGAACTGTGATTAACTCAGACAATGGACTAGAGAAAGAGATGAACTAATTTTTTTACTCGGTATCCTTTTGTAATATTTGAAAATTTACAAAAATACATTTGTATATTCCTCATAACAAAGTTATAAAAAGAAATCTATATCCAATAACATCTAAAAAGAAAATGAACTAGTAAAATTAGGCCATTACAATCTGGAAAAAAATGTTTACTATATATTAAAAGGTCTTTAATTTATAATGGGTTCTCACAATTAACAAAAATAATATTTTAGAAACCCAACAGAAAACTGAGCAAAGGATATGAGTAAATGAATGTGGATAAAAATGGTTTAGTCTCATTAATTATTAAATAAATGCAAATTAAAACAAGACATGACTTTTCACCCATCAGCCCACAAAGTTCTTAACAATATGAGGAGGATAAAGAGTTAATGAACAAACTAAGCACAATAGTGGCAGACTCATAGATAGAGAGCAGGTGGACAGCTCTGGTTAGGGGCTGGGAGCCGGGGGAAGTGCAAAGGGGAGAAGGTGGCGGGATTGAACAAAAACAAAAAAAAAAGAGAGAACTCATGGACATGGGCAAGAGTGTGGTGATGGAGTGGGGAAGGGGAGCGGGTGGAGGTGGAGGTGGAGGTGGAAGAGGGCAGAGAGGGAATAAATGGTGATGGAAGGGAAAAAATTAAAATAAAAATGTTACTGAACCTAGATAGCTTGTAACTGGTGGCTTGGTTGAACGAGTAGACTTGGAACCTGGAAAAATAAATTTTATTCCATTCATCAGTCTTATTAATAAAATTATGGATTTAATTTGATTTTTGATTTTTTAAAAAAGATTAGCTATTCCTCAAAATTAAAAATATGCGTACTTCACATTTGTAATACCTTAACTAATAATAAAAAAAAGAACTTCATAAATATACTCTACACGTGCACAATGTGTACTTTCCACAATGTCTAAAGTTAAATTTAGCTTTTTCTATTACTCTATCTCTAATTTTCATTCTTTTATGTTTCCTCTTTATGTAATAAAACAATTGAAAGAAAAAAAAAATATGCGTACTTTCCAAACTTTGCATAGTGCTAAGTAGTTTAAGTAGAACCAATTTAAGCTGTATTATCACCCAGTTGGGAAGACATTAAATCATTTTACATGTAAGTAAATACCTTTGAAGTTTAAGTAACTTGCCCAAGTGTACATGCCTGCGTATATCTATGGACTATGGCAAGTAATTTTAGAATCAGTAAGAATAACAACTAAAATGGCTATACATATGTTCTTCCCCCTTTTATTACTAAAAGTTATAAATTAGTGTAAACAACATGAATTTAAAGGATTTTTGTAAAATATAAGGAAGATGTTACTAAATATGAATGACTCACAATAAGAGGCTTTGATATTGAAAAGCATAACAATGTAGGATCAATCACTTGGAAATTATCCCTTTCTTTTCATTTGTGTGAATTATGACTTTCATTCTGATTTAGGTAAAAATTCCCATGATTCATTCCATTTATTCTGGAAAAAGTGGTTGCTAACCATAACATAACAGTACTGAACAAGCGGAACTTACAGACCTATGTGATGTACAGAATGTGCTAAGAACTCTATGAACACATACAAAATCACAACAGCAAAATTCTGTATGAACTTTATGTCATACATCCATCATGAATATGAAAAGATAATTAATTACTAAAATTGCTTCTTTTCAGTTATTCTTTATCATTGATATTTAATGTCAAAGAAAGAAAACCTTAAAAAAACAAGAAGGAAAATGATATAATATGTACCTCTAATACACCTGGGCATCGCAGGCTCCCAAGTACTGTTTCCACCGCAGAACACTGGGTTGCTGCCATTAAGGTAGAAACCCTTCCGGCATCTAAATGCAACCTCATCATGGTAGGAAAAATTGGTTTTCATTTCTGTTACTGGTTTTCCATGTTTGAGTACTGGCGGTTTACATTGGACCACTAAAAAGTAAATTTCAGCATTAATAGAAAGTTGTTTTACCCTAGCACCAGAAAAAAATAGTGCCAAGTAGCAATTTCCAGTGGGAAGAGACAAGGAGTGAAAGGCAAGATATAAATATTTTTAAAAAGACTTTTTTGTGCATTTTCATTCCAGGTAAACAGATTTAGAGAAATCTGATAACTGTTTTTCCACCTGAAACAGTCAATATAGTTTATTGGTTTCTTACATTTTTTAATCCTCACCTGAAGATATTTCTCCATTGATTTTTAGAGACAGTGGAAGAGAGAGGGAAATACAGAAACAAGTATCGATGTAAGAGAAACACATAGACTTGTTGCCTCCTGCACGAGCCCTAACCAGGGCCCGGGCTGGGGAAGAGCCTACAACTGAGGTACATGCCCTTGACCAGAATCAAACCTAGAACCCTTCAGTCCGCAGGCCGATGCTCTATCCACTGAGCCAAACCGGCTAGGGCCATACATTTTTTTTTCTACTGCAAAATTTGAAAAAAGTCTACCAGATATAAATTTGAGTACGTTCAAATGCAACTTTTGATACTCTAGCTCTAGAGATTTTTTCAAATTTCATGTTGACACTGATTATTATTCCTTGTCTTTTTAGAAAACTCTTGTGGGAAGGAAATAGTTGAAGTAAAATTTAAAAGCTTCAAAGAAGCTAGCCATGCAACGATATGCAAAGAAAAAGTTCTTTTTTAAAAATATTGCCAAAACTGGTTTGGCTCAGTGGATACACCGTCTGCCTGCGGACTGAAAGGTCCCAGGTTCAATTCCAGTCAAGGGCATGTACCTGGGTTGCGGGCATATCCCCAGTAGGAGATGTGCAGGAGGCAGCAGATCGATGTTTCTCTCTCATCGATGTTTCTAACTCTCTATCTCTCTCCCTTCCTCTCTGTAAAAAACCAATAAAATATATTTTTAAAAAATATTAAATCTTTATTGTTCAGATTATTACAGTTATTCCTCTTTATTCCCCACATAGCTCCCTTCCACCCGGTTCCCACCCCACCCTCTGCCCTTACCCCACCCTCACTGTCCTCATCCATAGGTGCACGATTATTATCCACTCTCTTCCCACATCTCCCACACCCCTTTCTCCCCCGAGAATAGTCAATCCACACCCTTTCTATGCCTCTGATTCTATTATAATCACCAGTTCATTCTGTTCATCAGATTATTTATTCACTTGATTTTTAGATTCACTTGTTGATAGATGTGTATTTGTTGTTCATAATTTGTATCTTTACCTTTTTCATCTTCTTCCTCTTCTTAAAGGATACCTTTCAGCATTTCATATAATACTGGTTTGGTGGTGATGAACTCCTTTAACTTTTCCTTATCTGTGAAGCTCTTTATCTGACCTTCAATTCTGAATGATAGCTTTGCTGGATAAAGTAATCTTGGTTGTAGGTTCTTGGTATTCATCACTTTGAATATTTCTTGCCACTCCCTTCTGGCCTGCAAAGTTTCTGTTGAGAAATCAGCTGACAGTCGTATGGGTATTCCCTTGTAGGTAACTGAGTTTCTTTCTCTTGCTACTTTTAAGATTCTCTCTCTGTCTTTTGCTCTTGGCATTTTAATTATGATGTGTCTTGGTGTGGTCCTCTTTGGATTCCTTTTGTTTGGGGTTCTCTATGCTTCCTGGACTTGTAGGTCTATTTCTTTCACCAGGTAGAGGAAGTTTTCTGTCGTTATTTCTTCAAATAGGTTTTCAAATAGCTCTTCTTCTGGCACCCCTATAATTCGGATGTTGGTACGCTTGAAGTTGTCCCAGAGGCTCCTTACACTATCTTCATATTTTTGGATTCTTTTTTCTTTTTGCTTTTCTGGTTGGGTGTTTTTTGCTTCTTTATATTTCAAATCTTTGACTTGATTCTTGCGATCCTCTAGTCTGCTGTTGGAGCTCTGCATAATATTCTTTATTTCAGTCAGTGTATGCTTAATTTCTAGTTGGTCCTTTTTCATAACCTTGAGGTTCTCACTAGATTTCTTGAGGGTCTCACTAAGTTTATCGGTAGTCTCACTAGACTCATTGAGGGTCTTACTAAATTTATCGGCAGTTTCTAAAAAATTCTTGAAAAACCTTATGTGTGGTTTTGAACTCTATATCCAGTAGTTTGCTTTCCTCCATTTCTGTCATTTGTGACCTGTTTCTTTATCTCTGCATTTTTTATGCTTCCCTGTGTTGATAGAGTGGCTCTCTGTGCTAATTGTCCTATAGGGCCCAGTGGCTCAGCCTCCCCAATTACCTGAAGTGGACACTCTTGGTGCACCCCTTTGTGGGCTTTGTGCACAGTTTTGTTGTAGTTAAGCCTTGATTGTTGTAGTTATCACTGGGAGGAATTGAGCTCCAGGCCAATTGGCTGTGAGAATCAGCTGTGTCTGCAGTGGGAGAACTATGCTGGAGACACCCTTCTGGGGCAAGATTTGCTTCAGTGGGGCTTTGGTGCTCACTGAGTCTGCCCCCTCAGTGTGTCCCTTATGGATCTGAGGAGTTGTAATCTGGATGGTCCCAATCTGACCACTGGGTACACTGGCTCTTGGATCTTTAAGGAGGTGCTAATTTAGCCTCTGCCTGAGGCTACCTAGCAGGAGCCCAGCTGTGAAGCAATGCAAGCTGCTGTGTGGCCTTGGGCCTTCTTTTGGGTGTTCTGGCTTTCTCTGACCCAGCTGCAGTTTGTTAGGTAATTTTCAGATTGTAAAGGGCCAGACCTTTCATATGCAAAAGCCTCTGTGCACAGCTTGGGTGGGGTGGGGTCTCAGGGGATCAACAGGGTGGAGCAAGCAGCTATGGCTGCTCTTCAGTCCTGCCCTAAGAGGCCCCGCTTCTCAGTGTCCCGGTAATTGCTGCAAGCACCTCTGAGAGAAAGCTGCCCTCAAGTTCCGACCAATGCCAGTTAGTCCAGTTTCTCCCCATATGCGTCTGGGTCCCTAGAGACTCACCCGGAACTGGAGTTCAGAGCAGTCAGGAGCTTGAGACTCCCTCCTGACTGAAAAAGACAACCGTGCCCTCAGTTTCCAGCCCTTTCCATGTGCACCGTGTCCTCAGCTGCCAGCCCTTTCTGCGCGCCTCCGTACCTCTGCACTTTACTTCCGCACTTCCTCTGAGTCTCAGTGTGCTTTTCTCTTTCCTTCTAGTTGTAGAATTTCCACTCAGCCAGCCTTCCTGTGGTTCTGGATGATGTTCGTTTTGTCTTTTAGTTGTATTTTTGAAGTGGTTGTGCAAGGCAGCAATTTCAGGTGTTTACCTATGCTGCCATCTTGGTTTCTCCCCCAAAGAAAAAGTTCTCAGGTGGCAACCACATATATGATCTGGGATATTCAAGAAATAGAAAGGCCAACGAAGTTACAGCCATGTTTTCCGAATATATTAGACTGCAACCCAGAGATTACTTTTTTTTTAATATATTTTTTATTGATTAAGATATTACATATGTGTCCTTGTCCCCACGTTACCCTCTACCCCCCCCCCCAACCCCCTGCTCATGCCCTCACCCCCCCGTTGTCCATGTCCATTGATTAGGCCTATATGCTTGCATATAAGTCCTTTGGTTGATCTTTCCCCCTTACCCCCACCCTCCCCTACCTTCCCTCCAAGGCCCGACAGTCCAATCAATGCCTCTCCGTCTCTGGATCAGTCCTTGTTCATCAGTTTATGTTGTTCATTATATTCCACAAATGAGTGAGATCATGTGGTATTTATCCGCTCTCCAGTTCCATCCATGCTGTGGCAAATGGTAAGAGTTCCTTTTTCTTCTTCCTCTTCTTAAAGAATACCTTTCAGCATTTCATATAATGCTGGTTTGGTGGTGATGAACTCCTTTAGCTTTTTCTTATCCATGAAGCTCTTTATCTGACCTTCTATTCTGAATGATAGCTTTGCTGGATAAAGTAATCTTGGTTGCAGGTTCTTGCTATTCATCACTTTGAATATTTCTTGCCACTCTCTTCTGGCCTGCATGGTTTCTGTTGAGAAATCAGCTGACAGTCGTATGGGTACTCCCTTGTAGGTAACTGACTGTCTTTCTCTTGCTGCTTTTAAGATTCTCTCTTTATCTTTTGCTCTTGGCATTTTAATTATGATGTGTCTTGGTGTGGTCCTCTTTGGATTCCTTTTGTTTGGGGTTCTCTGCGCTTCCTGGACTTGTAAGTCCATTTCTTTCACCAGGTAGGGGAAGTTTTCTGTCATTATTTCTTCAAAAAGGTTTTCAATATCTTGCCCTCTCTCTCCTTCTGGTACCCCTATAATTCTGATGTTGGTACGCTTGAAGTTGTCCCAGAGGTTCCTTACACTATCTTCATATTTTTGGAATCTCTTTTCTTTTTTCTTTTTCGGTTGGGTATTTTTTGTTTCTTTGTATTTCAAATCTTTGACTTGATTCTTGGGATCCTCTTGTCTGCTGCTGGATCTCTGTAAATTATTCTTTATTTCAGTCAGTGTATGCTTAATTTCTAGTTGGTCCTTTTTCATGTCCTCCATGGTCTCACTATACTTATTGAGGGATTCATTAAATTTATCGGCGGTTTCCATAAAATTCTTGAAAAACCTTATAAACGTGGCCTTGAACTCTATATCCAATCGTTTGCTTTCCTCCATTTCTGCCATTTGTGACCTGTTTCTTTGTCTCCGCATTTTGGCAGCTTCCCTGTGTTGATAGAGTGGCCCTGCGCGCCAGGTGTCCTGTAGGGCCCAGTAGCTCAGCCTCCCCAGTTACCTGGGGTGGACACTCTTGGTGCACTCTTGGTGCCTTGGTTGTTGTAGGATCACTGGGAGGAATTGACCTCCAGGCCAATTGGCTGTGAGAATCAGCTGTGTCTGGAGTGGGAGAACTTCTGTGCTGAAGACACCCTTCTGGGGCAAGACTTGCTTCAGTGGGGCTTTGGTGCTCACTGAGTCTGCTCCCTGAGTGTGTCCCTTATGGATCTGAGGAGTTGCAATCTGGATGGTCCCCCTCTGACCACTGGGTACAGTGGCTCCTGGATCTAAGGAGGTGCTAATTCAGCCTCTGCCTGAGGCCACACAGCAGGAGCCACGAAGAGGCTCAGCTGTGAAGCAATGCAAGGCCGCTGCGGGGCCTTGGGCCTTCTCTTGGAAGTTCCGGGTCTGCCTGGCTCGGCTGCAGTTAGGTACATTCACATGCAAAAGCCTCTGCGGCAGCCTGGGTGGGGCGGGGTCTCAGGGAATCAAAGGGCGGATCAAGGAGCTATGGCTGATTCTCCGCCCGGAGTCGCGGGTCTCAGTGACCTGCTAATTGCTGCAAGCACCTCTGAGGGAAAGCCGCCTTCAAGTTCGCCCGCTGCCGGACAGACCAGCTTCTCCCCGTATGAGTCCTGGGTCCCCAGAGACTTCCCGGAACCAGAGTTCAGAGCAGTAGGGAGCTTGTGATTCAAAAAGACAGCCGCGTCCTCAGGTGCCACCCCCTTTACTCGCGCGAGCGCGAGCTGGCCGTACCTCTGCACTTGTACCTCTGCACTTCACCTCTGCAGCTCCTCTGGCTCTCAGCGTGCTTTTCTTTCCTTCTAGTTGTAGAATTTACACTCAACCAGCCTTCCTGTTGTTCTGGATGATGTTTGCTCTGTCCTTTGCGGTAATTTTCAATTGTTGTGTGAGGCGGCAATTTCCCGGTGTTTACCTATGCCGCCATCTTAGTTTCTCCCTACTTTTTTTTTTTTTAAGGCTGTAAAACCATTACATAAGCACACAGGGCTGATATAAAGTTAAAAGTTAATACTAGACTTCATACTGATGTACTCTGGTATTTCTCATTCTACTCTATTTCTCAAGGAGAAAAGTGCCGGTCATGACCTTCTAGACTTCAGAATCCAGTAATGGGTTTGGAAGAATTTGGAAACACACACACACACACACACACACACACACACACACACACACCACTGAGCTGGGTAGCAAGTAACAGAGAACATTTTACAAGATTAAATCTGAGCCATACATAAAGGGCCCATTATGCACAGCCTTTTATATCTTTTCAATTTTATTGATTTTTAGCTCTATTATCCCGTTTCCTTGTTTTAAGTTTAATTTGCATTTCTTTCTTAGTTTTTTAAGGTGAAAGTGTCCAGATTATCGATTTGAGATATGTTTTCTACTGTATTGTATGCTATAAATTTTTCTCAAAGCAATGCTTTTGCTGTCACACAAATGTTGATATTTTTATATGTTGTGTTTTCATTTTTATTGAATTCAAAACACTTTCTAATTTTTCTTGTGATTTTTTCTTTGACTCAATGGTTCGTTAGATCATATTTGTTTTACATGGTTGCCAAATACCGCCCATGCACTGCTTGACAACAGGAATAACGTTCTGAGAATTGTGGACATCATAGAGTGTACTTGCAAAATCTGACCTAGATGGTGTAGCCTACTATTTTTATCATAAGAGCTATACTTACAATATAGCTCTTTTTGACAGCGCAATAGGTTTGTTTACACCAGCATCATCGCAAACACATGAATACTGTGTTGTGCTATAACATCCTGACAGCTATCACAGGATTTTCTAGGTGACAGCAATTTTTCAGCCCCATTATAATCTTATGAGACTATCATCGTATATGTAGCCCATCACTGACTGAAATGTCATTATGATATATATGACTAAATTTGGAGATTTTAAAAATTATCTCTGTTTTGATTCTAAATTTATTTCATTATGAACAGAGAATGTACTCTGTTTCAATTATGTTAAACTTTAAAAAATTATGTTGTTTCCCAGAATATGGTCTACCTTATAGAACATTCCATACCCACTAGTAAAGAGTAAATATTTCGTTGATATTCAGTGGTCCCTTTCCTACAAAAGTCAAATCCCCTTCATTGTCTCCCATTTTTGGTTATTCTCTAGTGCCTTAAACATTGTTTTTCCAACTCTGTGTGTACAGAGTTTATCATTAGTATCAGTAAGAGTTAGCCTTTTATAATTTACTCTGCCACTACCTATTGCTATATCTCTCGGATGATTTAATATAAAAAAAAGTCTTAATTTTAAGCCATTGTGTGTTACTTTTTGTTTTTTCAAGCACAAAAAAAATCCTGTTATACATTTACACAGTAGTTAACATTATATAAACTGGAATGCCAAGAGCATGTTGAGGGTGGGGAATTCTACAACTGAACTATTTTTTATTCGACTTGACAAATAATAAATTAAATTAAAATTTAACAGGAGGAGGAAGCACATATAATTGCTTGCTTACTTATAGGTAAACACTCTACAAAGTTTTTTCACTGTATTTACCAATGAAGAAGGAAATATCTTTACCTTTACATTGAGGAGGGTCACTACTCCATTTGCCAGGCCCAAAACAAGTAAGCGTGCTCTCTCCAATAAGTGAATACTCCTGAGTCCCATTTGAAGGGTCACAAGTATAAGTCACTACTTCATTAAATTCAAATACAACCTTCCAGCTATCCGTGTATTTTCCATTACTTATTTTTCCGGGTGCATCACACAAAATCTCTTAAAAAGAGGAAATGAGAAGAAAAAGGAGAGATGTAGAGAGTAAGACAACATTTAGTAAAACAAATTCACTAACATCTGATTTCTACAGTCTAGTTGTGAATCCAATATCCCTTTAGAATGTCTCTATGAGAAAGTGTTATTACCCCAAAGTCAAATCATGTAGAAATGAACTTTCAAAAGAAAACCAATTTTATTGAAATATCTATATGAAATATCTATATTTATCTATAAGGCTATGTTAAGTTTTGCTCTAGTCATCATAAGAATTGCTGAAAATTAAAAGATATGGTTAAAGATAAAATTCACTGCTAGTTGAGAAATGCTTTATAATTTATAAGAATATAAATATATCTATTTGCCAGGTCATTGTTTCACAATTATACTGATATTGTCTTTTTTTTACTTTCAACCTTACGAGTACAGTGAAATTTTCCAGAAGCTACTGAATGTGTTATTTTACCACAGAATGAATTTAAGTGTCTTGTCTTCCTTTAAGCCAGATTTTGAAGGCATTTATAAAAGTGTAAAACAATCCCACTATTCTAACTCTTTTGGGCATCTTTTGTTTTTTATTTAAAAAAAATACATTGTATATTTTAATAAATCTTGAATCACTATGTTGTATGCATGAAACTAATATACTATTGTATGTCAACTATACTTTTAAAAAATCAGCATGAGTGGGTCCCAAGGCCAAAAATATTGAGAATTGCTGGTTTAAATTCTAAAGTGAAAATTTACTTACTTTCACATGTTGGTATATCATGGTCCCAAAGCACCTTGTCTCCAGAAAGTTTACAAGTTAGAATTGGTTCACCTTTCAAGTAAAAACTAAATGGGAAAAAAAGTTACTGTTCTTTTTACCAGTTAACAAGATGTACATAATAAAGAGGAAAATTTCATATAGTTGTTTTCTGCAATACAGACAAAAAAAAATCAAAAAGAAATATCAGCCTTAAAAGACACACTAAATCAGATGGATTTAATTGGTATTTACAGGACATTTCATTCCCAAAGCTGCAAAATATATATTCTTCTCAAGTGCACATGGATCTTTCTCAAAGCTAGACCAGATGTTAGGACACAAAATAAGTCTTAACAAATTCAAGAAGATTGGAAAAATACCAAACATCATCTCAGATCACAGTGGCATGAAACTAGAAATCAAGTACAGTAAAAACACTCAAAAACAGACAAGCACATGGAGACTACATAGCATCTTACTAAACAACGAATGGGTTACAAATAAGATCAAGAAATAAATTTTAAAAAAAACTTCCTGGAAAGAAATGAAAATGAACACACAATCCAAAACCTATGAGACATAGCAAAAGCAGTCCCGAGAGGGAAGTTCATAGCATTATAGGCCTACCCCAAGAAACAAGAAAAAGCTAAAATAATCTAACACTCCAACTAAAAGAATTAGAAATAGGACAACAAGGAAAGCCCAGAGTCACTGGAAGGAAGGAAATAATAAAGATCAGGGTGGAAATAAATGACATAGAAACTAATATATATATGATCAAAGAAACCAAGAGCTGGCTCTTTGAAAAGATAAACAAGAATGATGAACCTTTAGCCAGACTTATCAAGAAAAAATGAGAGAGGACCCAAATAAATAAAATCAGAAAGGAAAGAGGCTAAGTAACAACTGACATCATAGAAATACAAAGGATTGTAAGAAAATACTTTGAATAACTATTTGTCAACAAGCTGGACAACCTGAGTGAAATGGACAAGTTCCTAGAAACATATAATCTTTCAAAACTCAGGAAGAAGCAGAAAACCTGAATAGACAATAACAACTATGAAATTGAAACAGTAATAAAATAAAAAAAACTCACAGCAACAAAAAGTCCTGGAATAGATGGCTTCATAGGCAAGTTTTACCAAACTTTTAAAGAAAAATTAACACTCAGCCTCCTCAAACTATTCCAAAAAATTCAAGAGGCCCAGCTGGCTTGGATCAGTGGTTGAGCATTGACCTACAACCAGGAGGTCACAGTTCAATTCCCGACCAGAGCATATGCCCAGGTTGTGGGCTCAATCCCCAGCAGGGGGTATACAGGAGGCAGTCGGATGGTTGTTTGGCTGTTTGGCCTAATTAGCATATTAGCTCTTTATTATATAGGAGAGTATTGGAAGTCCTAGCCACAGTGATCACACAAGAAGTTATAAAAGACATCCAAACTGGAAGAAGTAAAACAGTCATTACTCACAGATGACATGATATTGTACATAGAAAACCCTAAAGACTACACACACACACACACACCTACAGTTAGATTTAAGAAATTAATTTGGCAAAGTAGCAGGATACAAAATTAACATCCAGAAATCAATGGCCTTTTTATACACCTATAATGAAGTGTCAGGAAAAGAAACTAAATATAAATCCCACTTACCAAATTAAATACACACACACACACACACTGAGTGGCCAGATTATTATGACTGGCCAGATTATGACCACCCCTCAGTAAAACGAAGTGAATTAGTTATGCAAATAATAATCCTATCTAATAAAAGACAAAAAGGGTAATTGACCATACCTTCGCTACACTTCCCATTGGCTAACCAGGACAATATGCAAATTAATAGCCAACAAAGATGGCGGCCAGCAGCCATGCAGCTGAAGAGAGCAGGAGGCTTGCTTGCTCCAATGATGGAGGAAGCCAAGGTTCCCCACCAGTCGCGGCCCGGCTCTGAGCTCAAAAGCAACAAAGTTTCAACTATAGAAGCTAAACAAACCCCAGATACCTGCTTTCAGCAGGCCGTGGCCTCAGAGCTGTGAGCGAGTAGGAGCTGGCTCTCAGCTCCAGTGACCGCAACAAGGTTTCAATTATAGAAGGTAAATAAATCCCAGAATAAAAAAAAAAGAAAAAAGAAAAAAAGGAGAGGCTGGGAGCTTCAGTCGCCTACCAGCCTGAAAACGGCCCTCAGCCCCTCACCCAGGCTGGCCAGGCACTCAAGTGGGACCCCCACCCTGATCCGGAACACCCTTCAGGGCAAACCAGCCAGCCTCCACCCGTGCACCAGGCCTCTATCCTATATAGTAAAAGGGTAATATGCAAACTGACCCTAACAGCAGAAAGACTGGGAATGACTGGTCACTATGACACACACTGACCACCAGGGGGCAGATGCTCAATGCAGGAGCTGCCCTCTGGTGGTCAGGGCGCTCTCACATAGGAGGAGCTCTGCTCAGCCACAAGCCAGGCTGATGGCTGCCAGTACAGCAGTGGTGGTGGGAGCCTCTCCTGCCTCCTCAGCAGTGCTAAGGATGTCCCACTGCAGCTTAGGTCTGCACCCCACTGGCAAGTGGACATTCCCCGAGGGCTCCCGGGCTGCCAGAGGGATGTCTGATTGCCAGCTTAGGCCCAATCCCCTGGGGAGCAGGCCTAAGCCAGCAGATGGTCATCCCCCAAGGGGTCCCAGACTGTGAGAGGGTACAGGCCCGGCTGTGGGCCTCTAGTAATAATAATAATAACCTTGAGAGTATTTGCTTAGGAAGTTTTCAATATTCAGTAATTTTGGAAGTGTCAATGAAGTACTAATGGGGTGGTCATAATAAACTGGCCGGTCATAATAATCTGGCCACTCAGTGATATTTATCTGGGAATAAACTTAACTAAGGAAGTAAAAGAGCTGTACTCAGAAAACTACAGGACATTGGAAAAAGTAGTAGAGGAAGATACAGACAAGTGGAACCATATACTGTGTTCATGAATTAACATCATTAAGAATTAACAATATCCCAACCGGTTTGGCTCAGTGGATAGAGCGTCAGCCTGCAGACTGAGGGGTCCCAGGTTTGATTCCGGTAGGGGGCACATGCCCGGGTTGCAGGCTCAGTCCCCAGTGTGGGGCATGCAGGAGGCAGCCGATCAATTATTCTCTCTCATCACTGATATTTCTATCTCTCTCTCCCTTCCTCTCTGAAATCAATAAAAATATATTTAAAAAGAGAATTAACATCATTAAAATGTCCATAGTACCCAAAGCGATTTACAGATTCAACACAATCCCTATTAAAATACCAATGGCATATTTCACAGACCTAGAAAAAATATTCCAAAAGTGTATGTGGAACAAAAAGCAACCCCAAATAGCTACAGCAATCTTGAGAAAGAAGAAGAAGAACAAGGTTAGAGGGATCACAATACTGGATGTCAAAATGTACTACAAAACCATTGAAAGATCTGATAAGAGGTTAATTTCCAAAATATACAAAGAATTTATACAACTCAACACCAGGAAGACAAATAATCCAATAAAAAATGGGCAAAGAATTTGAATAGACACTTCTCCAAAGAGGACATACCATTGGCCAATAGACATGAAAAGCATCAGTAATCATCAGACAGATGCAAATTAAAACAACAATGTGGTATCACCTCACACCTGTCAGAATGGCTACCATCAATAAATCAGCAAACAACAACTGCTGGTGAGGAAGTGGAGAAAACGGAACCCTAGTACACTGCTGGTGGGAATGCAGACTGGTGCAGCCTCTGTGGAAAACAGTATGGAAGTTCCTCAAACAATTAAAAATGGAACTGCCATTTGACCCAGCAGTCCCACTTCTAGGAATAAATCCTATGAAACCCAAAACACCCATCAGAAAGAATATATGCATCCCTATGTTCATAGCAGCGTTATTCACAATAGCTAAGATCTGAAAACAACCCAAGTGCCCATCAGTAGATGAGTGGATAAAAAAGCTGTAGTACATTTACACAATAGAATACTATGCAGCTGTAAAAAAAAGAATGATCTCTTACCCTTTGCTACAGCATGGATGGAGCCAGAGACTATTACGCTAAGGGAAATAAGCCAGTTAGAGAAAGACAAATACCACATGATCTCATGTATATGCGGAATCTAGTGAACAAAATAAACTGACCAACAAAATAGGTCCAGAGGCATGGAAGAATAACAGATCTCAGTGGGGAGGGTAGTGGAGGGGACAGGAAGAGATTAACCAAAGATCATATATGCATATATGCACAACCCATGGACACAGACAATAGTGTGGGGAGGCCTGGGCATGGCAGGGATTGGGGGGAAATGGGGGACATCTGTAATATTGACAAAAAGAAGATAAGGAAAACAATATGGAATCAGTAACATTTACCTTATTTTCTCTAAGGAGCAACTTACCCGTAATCACAATAAAAGTGAGCTTCTTTATCCAATCCAAAGCCCCCTTGTGGGTCATATACTTTACCACTTTTCACATTTGGAGTTGGACATGATTTTTCTAAAAGAAAATGTATAAATTCATTTTTATACAAATTTCAAAACAGATGTAAAAGAAAATAAAAATTCTACACTGCTTGCGCTGGCTGGTTTGGCTCTGTGGATAGATCATCGGCCTGCGGACTGAAGGGTCCCTGGTTCGATTCCGGCCAGGGGCACATGCCAGGGTTGCAGGCTCGATCCCCAGTGAGGGGCATGCGGGAGGCAGCCAATTGATGATTCTCTCTCATGCTTGATGTTTCTATCTCTCTCTCCCTCTCCCTTCCTCTCTGAAATGAATTAAAAAAAAAATTCTACACTGCTCTTGTCAATTCATGCAGTATTATTTTTTTGAGTTAACCATATAACATAAAGTTCTCATTTACCCAGGCAACCAACTGCCTACAAAAAAATTCCTGGAAGATTTGTGGAAGCCTAAAAATCTGTCTTGCTATCTAAACCCTAGTTTCCCATGAGAAAATCATCATTGCCATAGTGGAAAATGAATCCAAATATGTTTTTTAAAAAAAGAAAAAGGCCCTGACCGGTTTGGCTCAGTGGACAGAGCGTTGGCCTGCAGACTGAAGGGTCCCAGGTTCGATTCCAGTCAAGGGCATGTACCTTGGTTGCCGGCACATCTCCAGTAGGAGGTGTGCAGGAGTCAGCTGATTGATGTTTCTCTCTCATCGATGTTTCTAACTCTCTATCCCTCTCCCTTCCTCTCTGTAAAAAAATCAATAAAACATATTTAAAAAAAAGAAAAAAGGAAAAGGAAACAGAACAAGCACACACACATAAAAAAGACAGGTTTTGCTTACTTACTGTAACAAGCTTCATCAACAGGGAACCATGTGCTATTTTTCTCACAAAAGGTCTTGAGGACATAATTAAATGAATAATAATATCCTGGTTTACACTCATAAAATATTTTCTCCCCAGGTAAATAGGAAGATTTAGGGGTACCCTTTAACTGCATAGACTGGTACAGTGGTGGTTCACCACAGCGACCTAAAAATAAGAAAATAAGAACATAAAAATAAAATATTTAATCTCTTTGACAACCAGGGACTGTGGCCTGACAGCAGGTGGGTAGTACAGAATAAATGGAAAGGTCCTTGGCAAGATTTTATTTTTAAAAACTATATTTTATTGATTTTTTTACAGAGAGGAAGGGAGAGGGATAGAGAGTTAGAAACATCGATGAGAGAGAAACATCAATCAGCTGCCTCCTGCACACCCCCCACTGGGGATGTGCCCACAACCAAGGTACATGCCCTTGACCGGAATCCAACCTGGGACCCTTCAGTCCGCAGGCCGACGCTCTATCCACTGAGCCAAACCGGCTAGGGCATTGGTAAGATTTTAAAGACTTGTTCCCTGCTTTCACCCAAAGGTCCTAGGAGTGGGCCACGCGCTGCCCTTGCTTTAAATAGCATTCTATTCGCTTTTGGTTTGTTGGGGGATAAGCTGGATTTTTACTCAACAGTAAATTTAGGAAGCAAATATCAATGTTTTAGGTCTGAAAGATACACCATATAGGTATGCATCATTCCCCATTTCTTTTGGAAATTCATTTCAAAATTCAACTCTCTTCCAAGAAGTCTTTTTTCTCCCGCGTTATCCCCCTCCCCACCTCCACCCCCATCCCCAGTAATTCCTCTTCTTTTTGTTTACGTGTGGGCTTGAAAATCTTTTTTAAAAAAATGTGTTAGAACTATTATGGAAAATAACGTGGAGACAAATCAAGTAAAGTCCTAACGGGCTAAAAAAATGCAGTGGCCTCTCTCTCCTCTAAGGTTAAGGATCTAAGAAAGTAGATCTACTCTGATCCCCGAGAAACCTGGATTGGTCTCACCTTAGATGGTGAGACCAGTCAAGAGAACTCTAAACAAGTCACATATTACTGCGCTTTCATGTCATATTCTAACTTCCACCCGACCCTCCAAGAGAATTCCTACTCTGGAGCCCACGCCCCCTCCAGGCTCCTACCGAAGGATGTGGGCAGCAGGAGCACGAGGGTCACTGAAATGACCCCCACGAAGCACCATGAAAAGGGACTCTCGGGGCGGCGGGGAGGTGCCCTGCGTGGCTCGCAAGACGCCGTCATTTTCCGGGAGGTCGGCGAACATTTGCTTTCAAGTGCGGACGCTGGACGCAACAATGGCCGGTCGGCAGCCGCAGGTGGGCGTGACCTGCGCGGAGTCAGGGGTGGGCGGGGCCAACCCGAGGGCGGACAGGCGGCGGGGGTCAGAGGTGGTACCTTAGCAAGGGATGGGAGGATGCGCTGGTCCCTTGCTGGGCTCTAACCCACCCGGGTCTGCTGGCAGCTCGGGAAAGGAAACCAGAGCTGGGGCAGCATCCTTGTGTCTTTTCCGGAGCGCTGGATGGAAGAATAAAGCGCATTGATCTGAAAATAGGAACCCAGAGCGCAGACAGTGGGCCAGCATCCCTCGGGCTCCACTTTTGTCCGGGGGGCCTTCGGACTGTCCATAGTGCCAGGACCCTTGCACTATGGGTCCAAAAACAGAAAAATCATGGAGTTTCCTCTTCCTTTCAGACCAAGACAATGTCTAGATTCTGGGAGAGCAAGACAGTCAGTGTGAAGATGAAATATAAAATAACCACTTAGTATATTAGATTTCAAAATCCAGACACTCCATAATGACATTTAATTGAAGGAGGTATAATTAAAGAGAGAGTGAATGGGAAACTCATTGAGGGAGAATTATTATTACTGTTATGTCTTTCAGTGGTGAGTGATGTAGTAACAGAAATGTTCTGTGGATCAATATTGGCACTTATTTATGAAGACAGTATCTATGGGGGTTGGCAAAAATAGATTTACAGTTTTTCATATGGAGAACAATACAATAATTAATAAATAATAAACTCTGTGTTTTGTGTACTCAAAAACTTTCTCATTTACTTTGAGACTTGGAAATAAGTTCTTGTGAGAAAATTTAGAAGGTAGGGGAAAATATGGAATTTGATAATCTAGTTATAGGTACTTGGTTAGATTCAAGAACTGAGGTTTTACTGGGACTTTCAATCAGTGAAATTTCTACACCTGGTGTCCATCAAGCCATTCTTTCTTTAAAAATTTATCTTTATTGTTGAAAGTATTGCAGATGTCCCCTTTTTCTCCCCATTGAACCCTTCCAACCCAAACCCACGCCCTGCCTTAGGTCTTCACCACACCACCATCTGTGTCCACGGGTCATGCATATATGCATATACATTCTTCAGTTAAGCTCTTCCCACCCACACTTGCCTTCCCTCATGAAGTCATTCTTAATATAATGGAAGACACTCACCTTGATTTCTTTAACTTATTCTGATTTGACCCATCTCAGGCTCCAGTTGATATGTCCTGAGCCATGTTGCCTAGTTTTCTGGTCAAGCTCCTTGAGGCAAGGGTAGAGTATTCTTGCCTTTTCTCCAGTGCCCACATTGTTCTAGGCCTGTAGTAGGCACGTAATGAGTAAAGAAAGTGGGTGTTGCTGTCAACTGCATTAAACACCTCTCTGCCCATTCTCCACCAGCAAGGATGTGCCAAATCCTGGGAAATTTCTGAAAGATGATTACAATAATTTTAGACACTAGCAGGAACAAAGTGGGAGTTATCCCTAAGAAATGAGCTAGCTGCAAGTGTCTGCCGAGAAAACTTTCCTAAATCGGGTATCGTAAGCTGACCTATGAAGTGGAGCTAATGTCTGCCCCTTAGCCTTGAGATCATGTTAGTGACTGAGTTCAAAGGGCAAGTGTTGACAGTGAACTTCCTAAGGTCCTCACAGGAGAAGAACTCTAAAGAGTCAAGGCTTTGAATGAAGTAGGGAGTAAAAATTGGAGCTTCCTCCAATTATTGCTAAAGATATTATTAAACTGTCAAAGAAAAAATGAAGAGAGAATGGAGAATATGCATGCTTTTAGACCATTTTTTGAACTCTGGTAGATCTTTAAGGCAAATGGAATCTAGAGAAAAGTGGGTATTGCAGTGCTTCTATCAGAGGAAACAGATTTCAAGATAAAAAGGAAAAGAGAAACATTTCTTATTTCTTTATAAAAACTTTATTTTGATTGTTGAGACTATTACAAATGTCTCCAAACCAGGTTGATGAGGCCTCTGAGCCTTGCAGGAGGGGCTCCCAATGTTGCCAGGTTTTTCTAAGTGAGATATTTCTCAATAAGAGTAGGGGAGAAACAGAGAATGGGGTAAGAGACTCAGTCTGAATTCTAGCCTTATTGCATAAAGGCCACATTTTTCTTTATGAGAATGTATAATATCTAGTCTTATGAGTCTAATTCTGACACCAGCCAATTTCCCCCATTGGCAAGGCCAATAGGATTGATAATAGAAGCAGCCAAGTGAATGCTTAGCAGACTCTCCAGGCAGCACAGTTTTGCCTTGCACCAGTGCCGGAGCACACACCCCTGTCTTGTGAGAGAGGGGACAGGGCAAAAGGGAAAGGGGACCATACATGAAGGGAGCAGAATGCGGCAGGGGGTGGGGAGGACAGGACATCCTCCATGGAGGGGGCAGAGCAGGGGGGACAGGAGGCCCTGGAAAGAGGCTGGCCAGGGGAATAGGGGACCCTTCATTGAGGGGGTAAGGGAGTGTGGATAAAAAATGGACCATACACTAAACCTGACAAGCTCAGGAGAGGACCATGGCAGGCTTTACAAACTCAGAGGCCGAAAAGAACCACATAGGAGGGTCTAAAATTAAAACTTTCCTTTTCCCCACTACTTTTAAATCTTTATTGTTTAAAGTATTACATATGCCCCCCTTTTCCCCCCATTGACCTCTTGTAGCCCACCCCGCCTCTCCGCCCCAGGTCTTCATCACCCTATTGTCTGTGTCCATGGGTTATGCATATATGCATACAAGTTCTATGGTTGATCTTTCCTAAACCAGTATCTTCCTTTACAAAGGTCAATCTTTACATTAACTGAGCCTATTGTCTTTTTGCATCTACAATAACATACATTTGGAATGTCAGAGTAATTTTTTTTGATACCTCACTGCACAGAGCAGAGACCACAAAACTACTCATAGTTATTGTTAACTATCCTATACCCACCAATGTAAAAGAAATATGTGTTTATTCATTTTATGCAGAGATTTTCCTGCTTTGCTTCTTCCCGCCTCCCTAATCTGTCACCAATGGATTTCATGAAACGGGCTTAGGCCCCCTACTTTGATTACAATGAATAAAATAAGGTGCAAAACTGCTATTCTCTGGAGCATTTTCTCAATCTGTTGAGATTTTGCTTCCTGGCAATTGTCATCAGTTTGGCTCAAATAAACTCATAAAAATTCTTACAGGTTTTTCCCAGAGACTCAAGGCTTAGGAAGAAGTCCTTACCAGGTTTTGAAATGATGACATGAGGCAAAGGAATGCCAACCTAGGGCATCCTTGCACCGCTTGGGGATGGACAGGTAGACTTTAAGGAAGCCCCTGAGATCTCTGCCTCCAGTAGGCATACCTTTGGGTAATTCCCTTCTTTCCCGAGTGAGGGCAGGACCTGTGCCTTGCTTCTAAGCAATGCAATGCAACAATGGAAATGGAATGTATGCGACTGCATTTACACAATCACCTAATGGTGCGTCACACATCTGGCTACGTCTCCCAGGGCTGGTTTTGAAAAAGCAACTTGCCATGAAACGTAAAGCCACAAGGAAATGAATTCTGCCACCAACCTGAGAGGCCTTGGAAGTAGACCCTTTTCCATACAGAGCTCTGACAAGACTCTGGCTTTGGCCAACACCTTTTTTGCAGCCTTGTGAGACCCTGGATAGACTACCCAGCTAAACCCAGACTTCTGACCCACAGAAAGGGTCAGATAAGAAGAAGCATGTGTTGTTTTAAGAAGCCAAGTTTGTGGTAATGTGCTACGCAGCAACAGATAACCAATGCACTAGCCTATGTCCATATCCTCCCTCTAGACTTTTCATCTTTTAGACAATTTCATTTCTCAATATTCAACTTAACATTTAGATCCTTTTCTCTAGTTGCGGACTCCTAAGGTTAAAAATAGTTACCCGAACTTTATTATATTCTTTGGGTACAAATTAACCTATGTTCTTTTCCGTTTTAAACATTATTTCAAACGTAAAAGAAATGGCAGTAAATTAGGAGGGGCCAACTTTTATGTACACAATTGTCCTCAAACCAAATGCAGCAAGGACACCTTTTGTTTGGCATATAGGTCTCGCTTCAGTTAGACTGAGCTCTTTGACCTTCAATAATACTCACTAACTGTTGAATTAAAAATGTAATTGCCTTTACTTATTAGGGATATCTGTTCTGGCTTCATTTCAGGTGGCACTTCTGCTTGATGCCCCAAAACATAAAGACCTTGGACAGGATGGATACTGGGACCACAAACAATGACTGTGCCAATGTTGCCCAGCCCAAATGTTATAAGGAAGGAAAACAAAGGGTCACTAGAATTTGAAGATTCTTCACCATCATCAACAGAATGGCCCAGTACTGCCCCTCTCCTAAGAGTCTTACTTCCCCCCACCTTCCAGGTACCTGAAATAGAAAAAAAGGAAATGGAACAATTCTCTCTAAAATATTTCTCCCTTCTTTAAAAAACCATCTCAACTGTTGGTAGAGGTTTCTTAGGAATTCAAAGAACGCCAGTAAACGTTAGGCCAAATTAGATTTATAAGGAGAAAATAAGTGTTTTTGGTATTACATTTAAGTATAAAATGAAGCCAAGTCCACATATGGACTTAGAGACACCGCACAAAGCAGCTGCTCCAGCTGCGCCCACGGTTTAACGACTGTGGCTGAAGCTCTGGTCTCTGGCAGAACAGACGGGAGGTCCTGAAGGGCAGCTCTGATTTCACCAACACACAACACAACGCTCACTCACAGGGCCATTCGCAGAACTCGTTGAATTCAGTTAAACAAGAAAACAAAAAATTTTTTTTAAGTTAATATCGATTGCTAAGGAGACATCTGAACCTAAATGTTCAAACAATGCCGTTCTTACCCATTTGCAGTGAAACTATTAGGGGCAAAGGGAGGAGGACTCAACCACATAATAGCACTAAAACCTCCAAGCCTATAGTCAGAAAAAATCACACCAAGTTTAGTCAGTAAAAATGACTAGCATTTAAAATATATTTTAATGAGAACACTTCTAACATCTTTAAATAAAAATGATTTGCACTTTTCAATCTGGAACAGCTCTGGCATTAGGGCTTAATTGCTTTCTGGTCCACGGGTTTTAGCTGCCACCGGACTACCAACTCCCCATTGCTCTTGAGGCAGGTGTGAGCCATGTCCTCCTCGGTGGGGAGTCCTTGTGGCAACTTCAGGGGCTTGATTCTTATCAAATGTTTAACCACTTTCAGTTTCGCGTTCACCGAAGGGATGTTCTTGTGAACTTGAGGAGTGTGCGCCTACCAATGAAGGGAAATAGTGTTAGAGATCAATTTCAAAAGCACAGGTGGTCCCATGCTTCAGTGAAATGAATGAAGGCTCACTCTGTCTAAATCAAACTTCCAAATACATTCCGCTAAATAATACATTTAAACAAAAAATATTAAACATATTCCTTAAAGTTTAAAAAGTGCCAAATTTAAACCATGCTAAAGATGACTAAAATCCTTGCATACCTTTTCTATTCCAAGCATCTTTACTACATCTTTTTCCCAATATGGACGGCCTTTTATACTTTTTATTCTGGTAACAATATGCAGTTTATGAGGGTGTTGTGGATCCCCACCATATTTTTCATGATCTTCTGGTGAAGGCTGAAACACCTAGAAAGGAAGAATCGTAAATGGTAAATTTTCAAGTTACATAGTTTATATGTACCTCCTTTTTACCCCTAAAACACCCCCCAAAAAACCCAAAACAAAACCAAAAAAACCCCCCAAACAACATAATGATCTCATCCCTAATCTATAATAATAAAAGTATAATATGCTAATTAAACTGGACGGCCGAACGACCTTCCGGATGAAGCTGGGGCTGCGAGGGCCGAGCCCCCTGCACATATTTCGTGAATCAAGTTATTTTATCTTTCTAAAAATAACATGTTTTAAAAAATAGTAACATTAAAACAAAGAATCCTTGTTCTTACTTTATCTGGAATTCTTGACTTGGTAAATTTATGACGAATCCAATCTGTACAAACGAGAGACTCCACACCTTTTGTCACCGTCTAAAATATAATATAAAACATTAGCTTTTTAGAACTGTCTAGTGCAGAAACCCATTTCAATTTTGGGGTGACAAAAGTCTGTTTTTACCTAACCTGTAATTTTATTTATTTACTTTTTAAAATGTTTTTATTGATTTTATTCATTCATTCATTTATTTATTTTAATCCTCAGGGAAAGACAGAAATATTGGTGCGAGAGAAACAAATCAACAGTTTGCTTCCTGCACTCACCCCAACCAGGGCGCGAGCCAGGGAGGAGCCTGCAACCAAGGTATGTGCCCTTGACTGGAATCGAAGTTGGGACCCTTCAGCCCTCAGGTCAGTGTTCTACCCACTGAGCCAAAACTGGCTAGGGCCTAACCTGTAATTTTAAGCATTAACCTCAGCCCCTTACATGAATCTTACCACTAACATATTATAAAATAAAATAAACCACACTAATTATATATAGACTACTAGACCAGGGGTTGGCAATATTTTTCCATAAAGGACCAGATAGTGAATATTTCTAGCTTGGAGCTATATGGTTTCCATTGCCAAGTCTCAACTCTGCCACTATAGGGCAAAAATAGCCTAAACAATATAATAAACAAATGGAGGTGGCTGTGTTCCAACAAAACTTTATTTACAAAAATAGGTGGTGGGCTGGATTTGGCCTGCAGGCTGCAGTTTGCCAACCCCTGCTCTAGACAATGTGCAATTATTCAGCTTCAACAATACAATGCAAAAGAAAAGTCAAAATGAGTATCCACTTTTCTTTCTAGTCCCAACAGTATCATCCCTCCTAGTTCCTATCTCTTGTCCCCTTCCTATAATCCTCCAGTCCGGTTTCTCTCAGCTTGCAAAAGAGAAGGGCTCAGTGCCAATCCTTCATTCCAGGTAACTGCTCTCTGGATGGGCAATAATCATTCCCTCCCTGTACTGCAGAGATGGCACAAACAATGAGAGAAGGTGCTCTATCCTCTGAGCCAAACAGGCTGGGGCCAGACCGTATGGTCTCACAGGCCTGGGCAGACTGTTCCCCAGCCCTGATCAAGACTCTGGCCCTCTAAGCTGCACCACCGCAGTTTCTAAAAAAAAGGCTTGAAGAAAATACATGACAATACGAACATGAATGGTCTCTGGGAGACTGTTTTTTCTTCTTTTCTATCTTTTTCTAATTTCCTAAGATTGAAAATGTACTCTTTTCATAATTGAAGAGGGAGAGGAAAAAAAAAAAAAAAACGCCTAAAATTTTAGACCTTTTGTGATTCTAAATGTTTAGGGATATAACAGCAGATAAATCATAAATAAACAAAATTAACCCTCAACCTTAAAAGATTAATATATAAAAATAGTTAAGCTTAACTTGCTCATATGTTTTGTTAATTAGAAAAGAAAAAGAAAAATTTTGCAGAAACAAACAAAGAAAAAAAGATAACTCTTGAAAATGAAAACTTACGTGTAGTCTGCCCGGGGGCCTCTGAACCACCGAGCGCAAAATCCCGGCCATGAGTGCGGTGGCCGTCCTCTGCAGAGGCTGTGCCGGGTAGGAAACAGATCTCTGAGTCAAATATGTCTTGAAAATAAACAGATTCCCCCCTCTGTCTACAAAAATGAAACAAGTTAATTGTAAACTTGACTGAAGTTTAAGAGTAAAACCTTGGTTATTTTAATACAATAAAGGCAAGAATTAAGTTATTGTAAATGTTTCATTTGGAGTTCAGCAAAACCATCGGTAGTAATTTCATATGAACCACAACCCATTTTTGCCAAATGAATTAGAGCTCAGAGGATTCAACAAAATTGGAGCAATGGGAGTTACTAAAGCCCATCATTTAAAAAATCTTCTCCAACAATGAGGGCACAGAAAGAATGCTTTGTTATAGAATCACAAAAAATTAAATAGCTGAAGGGACAGAAGGAATCCCAAATCCTAGCATTAGAACTGACAACCCTCTTATCCCAGAAAGTTCACCCAAGGTACTCAGCTACCCAGGAAGTATATGGTCTAGAACTCAATTCCATTAATACCTAGTCCAATGCGTTTTCACTAAATCGTAACACCTTTATGTTAAAAGGTAAAGCAGAACTCTCTTTTCTGTCTAGTTGTGCTTTTTAAACTATTTTTTTTTAACAAACACATATTGTTTCTATGACTTAAATAAGTCATGTTTACTTAGACACATAACAATTATAGCTCACTATACTGATATATAGTGAAAGCTGAGAGATAAGGTGCATGACTTTGGACCTCAATCAATACAATACAGCATGAACAGTTTCTAGCTGAAATCACCCGTTTGCTAGCTGGTTGTTTATATACATACTAGAGGCCCAGTGTACGAAATTCGTGCACTCGGAAAGGGGGTGTCTCTCAGCCCTCTCGCAGTCCGGGAGCCCTTGGGGGATGTTTAACTGACGGCTTAGGCCTGCTCCCCCCTGCACTCGCCAGCTGTGAGCCAGCTTCTAGCCAAGTGGCTCTCCCCCGTGGGAGAGCACTGACCACCAGGGGACAGCTCCTGCATTGAGCGTCCGCACCCTGGTAGTCAGTGTGTGTCATAGTGACCGGTTGTTCCGCCGTTCGGTTGATTTGCCTATTAGCCTTTTATTATAGGATTTGAATCAAGGTTTCCTTAGAAGAGATGCTTAGTCCTGTGGCCCTCCAATCAAATAAATAATGCTAAATTATTTTCTCTACCATACTTTTCTCTACCGTACTTCTGCCTTCCAAGTTAAACATTATATACTAACTCAACTCAATTAGCTTCACACTTAGTTAAATCTTTCTCTTATCACTTACAATTCAACACAAACCTCCTAACTGACCTTCCTGTTTTCATTCCATTCTTCCTGTCTTTCCTCCATAGTAGCAATCACCTCATTAAAACCTAAATCAGCTCATGTCAACTCCTCTGCTCAAAACCTTCAGAAGAGCCAGGTTTGTCACTGTTGGAGAAGGGTACACGTAAGAAGGGAAGCTAGAATGATCCCTATGGTCCAATGATACAGGATTAGAGTTGGAACTCATGTTCAGCTCAATATAGGTATAAATGGATATAGACACAATTCTATACATGGATGTAACATAGTTTAACTTTGTTAGCTCAGAGGACCTAATAGCAATGGCATCCCAGTGAAAATGAGCATGCCCAGTGCCTAGATCAGTGATGGCGAACCTTTTGAGCTCGGCGTGTCAACATTTTGAAAAACTCTAACTTAACTCTGGTGCCGTGTCACATATAGAAATTTTTTGATATTTGCAACCATAGTAAAACAAAGACTTACATTTTTGATATTTATTTTATATATTTAAATGCCATTTAACAAAGAAAAATCAACCCAAAAAATGAGTTCGCGTGTCACCTCTGACACGCGTGTCATAGGTTCGCCATCACTGGCCTAGATCATAGTTTCTAGTAGAATTCTCTAAGGAAAGGAACCAGAGCTCCTTGGATAAGTAGCTGATACATGACTGCAGCAGGGGATATACAAAGGTGAGTGTGGGACATCTTGTAGTGCTAGAAAGGACCATTCAAAAAATCAAAATGATAAAGTATGTCAAAGGGACATAGGGGCCCACTGAAGGAGCTCCCAATGGCTACAGCTGGACTAATGTGAGCAACAAAATAAGTAATGAAGTATTGGCTTATAATCCAAACCATAAAATAACCATGAGTTGTGGGGAAGGCCTGGGTCGGGGGGCAGGAGCAGGCCAGAAGGGGTCAATGGGGAAAGAAGGGACATATGTAATACTTTTAACAATAAAAATTAAAAAGAAAAATAACTGAGTCCATACTGACGTAATTAAGTGAATAAATTAAATTAATGACAGAGAAAAAACACATACCTTCCTTACAGAAGAATTCCAAATAGTTTATGTAGCTATTCCCTCCTCAAAGAGGTTGAGCAAAACCACTCACTCCTGAAGTGAGGGCAGTGCTCAATGACCTGTTCCCAGAGGACAGTATAGAAAAGGGGGAAATAACACTACACTAGAGAAACCTGACCAACAGGATGTCAGCTAGAAAGATTAATTAACATCAACTGTAATAGCAGCCAAGTTCATAGCATGTACCCTTGATATGATAGAACGCGACTTGCACTTCACCTCTGTGGTCTTCTTCCCAGAACCCCATAACACCACTCTTATGGGAGAAACATCAAACTCCAATTGAGAGACATTGTACAAAACACCTGACTGCCCCCAAATTGTCAAGGTCATCATAAACAGGAAGGTCTGAGAAACTGTCATAGTTACGAGGAGCCTAAGGAGACATGATGACTAAATGCAGTGATATAGTATCTTGGGTGGGATTCTGGAACAGGAAAAGGACGTCAGGTACAATCTAAAAAAATCTAAATGAAATAACACCTTTAGTTAATAATCTATCAATATTGGTTCATCAATTACAGTAATGGAAGGTGTTAAAAGGGGAGACTGGGCCTGGGGTATGTAGAATCTCTGTGCTAGCTTCACAAGTTTCTAAAATCTGAAACTATTCTAAAATTATTTATTAAAAAATGAAAAACCTCCAACGCCTGTCCATTTCCATCGGAGTGACAGCCAGTCCTCACACTCCCTCCCCCACCCCTTACACTTACTGGCCAATTACTCTCCTGCCCCATGGTTAAACATATCGGTCCCCTTGTTGGTTCTAAACTTGCCAGGCAGGCATTCTCCCTGGTAATGGCTGTTCCTGCCCCTGATGTTCATATGGTTAATTCTCTGACTTTTTTCCATTTTTGGCTCAAATCTCATCTCAATGAGGTCTACTCTGATTCCATTATTTAACATTTTGACCCACACCACAATTGCCAACTCGCCTCATTCGATCCCTCTTCCTCTCTTCTTTCCATAGCACTTATCTTCTAACTTAATTTAATTATGTGTTAGGTTTGTGGTTTATTGTCTATCTCCACCCAATAGAATGTTAGTTCCACCAAGACAGGATTTTAAAATTTTGTTTTGTTTTTGGTCTGTTCTGTCGTTCTGATACATCCCACGCATCCACCTAAAGCAGCACCTGCCATGTAACAGGCAATCAATTAAATTTTACTCAACGAATGAAGTATAAGTTACAGGCTTCAGAAGGTGCGATAGTCAAAAGCTCTAAGTTTTAATAAAGGTTGTCTTTCATAACTCTTGGACCTTGAAACAATTTTAATACCTTCTACTTTACAATAACTTTTCTTTCGTTTTTATCAAGGGTTTCTATTTTATCATTATTTTTTCCTTTTTATTGAATGTATTGGGGTGGCACTGGTTAACAAAAATTACACAGGTTTCAGGCGCACAGTTCCACAACACATCATCTGTACACTGTACTGTGTTCACCACCTCAAATAATAACCTGTCTCTTGCACTAATGCAAAAGTAGGAAAATACACGCATCACGAGATAAGTATAATCCCATTTTCAAAAAAAAAAATGTCTGTGAATGTGTGGGAAGCTATCAGAAACACGTTAACATACCCTTGGGGGGTGGGCAGGCTACTGGGGCAAGTTTTCCTTTTTTCCTCCTGTAATGCCCAATAGATGGTTATTGCTGCTCTTGTACAATGACCATGCATATAACTGTTTATTTTTAAAAACACAACAAACTATTTCCTTTCCTATAGAGACATCTATGTAGTGATAAAGGCAAAGAGCGTCTCTTCTTTGAATTCCTAAAGCCCAACAAGCACTAGGCAGGCCTCCTACGTGCCTTTTGGCAAAAAATACGCAGCACAAGCAGCTTTGGGTACGTGGCCACCAAACCACGGTGGCAAAATCACAGCTTTTAGTAAAATGACGAATCGTTTATCTGCTCATTTCGGCAGGTTCGCCTTCTAAAATGCAGCGGTTAGAACATCAGGCAGGTTCGCATCTGCGTTAACAACAAATTAAACTACACGGAATGCCCACTTGGCAGGCCAGCGTCATGCATGAGGCAGAAGCACCGAAAATGCGAACCCGCGCGAGCGGCCCTTTCCCCAGCCGCGCAGCCCAGGCGGCCCGACCCCGGCGCGTCCCGAACCCGGGTTCGCGTCCCGGAACCCCTCCCACGGGGGCGCGATCGCGGCGGCCGCCGGCTTTCCGGACGCCAAAGGGACCGCGTCCGGCCAGGGCACGCCTCGATCCCGCGACCCGCCGACGCAAACGGGGGAAATCAACCCGCGTCTACACAGGGCTCCCCGCTGGGGACGCCCGGCAAAACCGCCGCACTTGGGGCCACGCACCCCCACTCACCTACGGGCCCTAAAGGCTGCGAAGCCCCAACTTGCCCGCCGACAGGAAGCTGAACAGACACCACCGAGTGCTCCCCTCAAACCCGGCCGCCACAGTCGGGGCAAAAATGCTGCCCTTTCAAGGTTCCGGCCGACTCCCTTCCACGCCAGGGCCACCCGGAGCGCGAGCGGGCGGGTGTCTGTGTCAGGTGACCGCCTCCCGGAAGCGCCGCGGACCCCGCCCTCTCGGACTGGGTGGGAGGCGGAGTGGGGTTCCCAGGATCATGGCCAAACCCGGGATGGGGCTGGACCCCGGGGGCGTAGCTGCCGCCACTGTGCTAAAGCGGGCGGTGGAGCTGGACGCCGAGTCCCGGTACCCGCAGGCGCTGGTGTGTTACCAGGAGGGCATCGACCTGCTGCTGCAGGTTCTCAAAGGTGAGCCCGGAGCCCTGGAGGGGTGGGGGAGGGGGATGGGGGGTGGGTGGTGTCGGGAGGGAGGGGTGCCGAGAGGGAGATAGAGAAAGGGGCAGCGTCCCGCAGTGTCGGGCGGAGTGTGAGTTCATGATTCCTGGGCACCGCGAGGAAGCAGCCAGATGCAGAAGGTGGCACATTTTACTGGTCAAATGGTCTGATTCCTTTTATATATTTAATAGGTGGATGTCAGCAAGAAAAGGGGGATATTGCTATAGAATTTTAAGAGACACAACCAAATATAATTCATATGCCCTTATAGGACTTGTGTTTGAACGAACTATAGGAGATCATTTTGGAAAGTTAGAATATGGATTTGGCAATATTAAAATCATTAATTAGCTCTGTTAGGCAGTAGGTTTTCTTAGAAAACTTTTTAAACACTTTTTTAGTTTTTAGAGACGCAGACCGAAGTATTCCGGGAAGAAACACTGAAACACATGTGGCAAAACGCTAATAATTTTTAAATCTAGGTGCTGGGGAATAAGGCTGTTCATGACACTGTTACTCTTACTTTCTGTTTAGGAGTTTCATTAAAAGTAAACAAAAATAAAATCACACGGTGGTAGAAGAAAACATTTTGTTTTTCCGTAAGAATGAGATGTACTGATATTTGGTGTGAGAAATGCTAAATTGTGGGTGTGGACAGTGAGACTTTGTTACATAAAGTTTGGGTACAGTGTTGTGAAGTACCCAAAACCCTAACACCAGCACAATCTCTGGTACATAGTAGATGCCCAGTAATTGTTTTAAGTTAAGAGCAGCCCTTGCTTCCCTCACCCTGGAGCTCCCAGTCTGGCCTCCCCGCCACACCCCCTTGCCTTTTAGCCTGTTTATAATGTTACTAGAGGTCCGGTGCACGGATTTGTGCACTGGTGGGGTCCCTTGGCCTGGCCTACGCCCTCTCACAATCCAGGACCCCTCAGGGGATGTCAGACTGCCAGTTTCGGTCCAATCTCTGCAGGCCAGGCCGAGGGAACCCCACCGGAGTACGAATCCGTGCACCGGGCCTCTAGTATGCATATAAGATCTTTGGTTAATCTCTTCCCGCCCTCCCCTGCCCTCCTTCCTTCTGAGATTCATCAGTCTGTTCCATGTTTCCATGCCTGTGCATTGAGCGTCTGCCCCCAGGATCCATGTAATGGTGAGGAGGATGGTAACAATAAGAGTATTAGCACTTATGAGTGCCAAGTGCCAGGCACTGTGCAGTACTCATTAAAGGCATGATCTCATTTCATTCTAACATTTGCCCTATGAAGGAGGTGATGTTATCCTCATTTTATAGCAAAAAAAGTTTGCCTTCCAGTTCTACTACTATTGATAGAGTCGCATTTGGAAGGGAAGGCTTTAAAGCAGTGGCTCTCCACCTTCTGGCCCTTTAAATACAGTTCCTCACGTTGTGACCCAACCATAAAATTATTTTCGTGGCTACTTCATCACTGTCATGTTGCTACTGTTATGAATTGTAATGTAAATACCTGATCTGCAGGATGGTCTTAGGCGACCCCTGTGAAAGGGTCGTTCGACCGCCAAAGGGGTCGCGACCCACAGTTTGAGAACCGCTGCTTTAAAGACTGTGGTGTACTGACTCCCAAAAAGAGAGATGGTGCACAGTGTTGGTCAGGCAGAGCACTGCTCAAGTCCTGGCGCTTTGGGAGTCTGAAGCAGGAGACTCACAGGAGAGCTGCTGCAGTGTGCTCCACTGAGCCTGCAGAGGTTACAGAGACCCTGACATGATCTTACAGGTTAAGGTACAGACGGAAAATAACTCCAAAACAGGGAATAAGTGCCAGGAGCGAGCTATGGCCGAGTACAGGAAGGGTTTAAAGTTAAAGGTCATTTTGGGGGTGAAAAAGTAGATGTGGCTTTTTATATAGGGCCTTTGGAGGATTAGCAGAATTTCAGAAACCCGACATTCAGTTAGTAGTGTTCAAATTCTCTCTGTACTGTTTAACCAAATAAGCCGTCCACTTTGTTTCACCATATGTCTATAGAGGAAGAGTGAGAAGTAAAGATGAAAGGTAGGTTGGGTCTTGGAGCACACTGGACGGCCTTGACTGCTGGAGATTTTACTCATTTCATAGACAAGGAGAAACCATTTAAAGTTTTTACAAAGCAGCGCTGTAATTGAAGTTGCCTCTCAGGGCTTGTCTCTCTTAGGACCGTCGATGGAGGCTAAAATTAATAGGTTAAAGAGTGATGAAAAACAGGATGCCTTTCCTCAAGATAACAAAGGAGAAAATAGTGATTTTATAGTGGAGAGATTTTGTGAACTCCACCATCACCAAGTGACCAGAGTTTACATTGGCATCATGTGCCCACTGAGAAGGGTGCAACACCTCTGTGATTTTTCTTGCCAATAAAGCATAACTTTAATCATGAGAAAACATCAACAGCCAAAAATGAGAGACATTCTACAAAACAACTGGCCACTACTCTTCCTAAATGTCAAGGTCATAAAAGGCAGAGAGAGTCTAAGGAACTATTGCAAATTGGAGTACACAAAGGAGGAGACATGACAACTAAATGCTATGTGGGATCCTGGACCAGAAAACAACCTTTCTTTCGTGGGAAAATTGGAGAAATAGGTTTATAGATGAGCTAATAGTGTTGAATCAATGTTAATTTCCTGACTCTGATAATTATACTATGTATATATGATGTGTTAATCTTAGGGGAATCTGAGTGAAGGGAGTATACCATCTTTGCAACTTCCATAAATACAAAGTTAATTCAAAATAAAATGTTTTAAAAACGAAGATTTTAAAAATGAAGTTGTCATGGGAAATATAAGCAGTATCAAAAGGAAGGAAAGAACCAGAAGTGAAGTGGTTAATGATTGGGTTCGGGGGATGGGATTTTGGGGTAAGATTTTATAGATAAAGTATATTCAAAGTTACCTTACATTTCGGGGTGGCTAGGAAAATGATTGAGCATCACCTGGAAGAGAAGCTGGTTTTGTGGGAGAAAGATAGATACTGTATTGTTAGCTCTGTTTTTTATTATTATTATTATGCTAAGATTTCAAACTTGTGGGTGATTAGGGCAAAACGGCGCTCAGACCTGGTTTGACATGTAAGAAGCCAGCTCTGTTGCCTCACCAGATTTGGTGTGTCCGGCAGTGAGACCCAGTGCAGGAGGGCCCACTCCTAAGGAAAACCGCCTCAGGTGCTTCGTGCGCCGCTGATCAAGTCAAATTTGTGTCTTTGAGGACCGAGGCACACCTTGCTATGGGATGGGAAATGTGCGGGAGGCTTGGGAAGCCGGGAAATAATGCCTGCACTACATAGAAAAACCGTTTGGAAACTTGGGACTATATTTACTTAATTTGTAGGCACCAAAGATGATACAAAGAAATGTAACCTCAGGAAAAAAATTTCCGACTACATGGATAGAGCAGAAAACATAAAGAAGTACTTGGATCAAGAAAAAGAAGGTAAAGAGGCTGTGTTAGAGAATGTGTTCTACACTATTGCCAAAGCCCTTTTCTTTCATTTTATTATTAAGTATTACATATGTCTCCTTTTTCCCCGATTGCCCACTCCCCCATTCCTACCCCCCTCCCCCAAAGCCCATTTCACCCTGTGTTTCTGGCCCTCCCGTTGGAGCTCGGTGGAGTGGACCCGTTTACTCTGCATTTCTGCTCCCCTGTACAGAAGCTATTCTTAACCTTTTTGGGGGCTGAGTGGGGAGTGAGGTGGTAGTCAGACACCCTCTTGAGAATCTGATGAAAGCTGTAAAGACTGCAGACCTTTGCCTGCTGTTCTAAGGAATTCACAGATCCCCATTAAGCTTATGTGTGGACCCAGTTTAAATTAACACTACAGAGGAATACTGAATATGAATCCTATGTATTTCTCTTCATAATATGACCAAAATACTAAAGTATCTAAAGAAACTCCTGGGACGGCTTTGGAGTTGTTTTGTTTTTGTTTTAAATATATTTTATTGATTTTTTACAGAGAGGAAGGGAGAGGGATAGAGAGTTAGAAACATCGATGAGAGAGAAACATGGATCAGCTGCCTCCTGAACACCCCCTACTGGGGATGTGCCTGCAACCAAGGTATATGCCCTTGACCAGAATCGAACCTGGGACCCTTCAGTTTGCAGGCCGACGCTCTATCCACTGAGCCAAACTGGTTAGGGCCGTCTTTGGAGTTTTGTTGTAAAACAGAACATTTCAGATTAGAGATGCTGTAGTATTGTTACCTATTTATTATTAGTTCTCTCCTCATGAGCATTCTAGTTTACAACCATAAATATAAATCTTAAAGAGCTTTGATAACTTATTTAATAATTATTCAACTTTAATGAATCCTACTGACCCTCTGGCACCCTAGTCTTTGGCTTGGGTTATTGAGAAATACTATCAATTTCCGTTTAAAACACTCCCATGCAAGTTCTAATAAAGACTTCTGAACTTCATATTATATTGCATTTATGTATTTAAACTCACTTTAGCTATTAAATTGCAGGGCATAAAAGACTTAAATCTAGCCCTGACTGGTTTGGCTCAGTGGATAGAGAGTCGGCCTGCAAACTGAAGGGTCCCAGGTTCGATTCCAGTCAAGGGCATGTACCTTGGTTGCGGGCACATCCCCAGTATGGAGTTTGCAGGAGGCAGCTGACCCATGTTTCTCTCTCATCGATGTTTCTAACTCTCTATCCTTCTCCCTTCCTCTCTGTAAAAAATCAATAAAATATATTTTTAAAAAAAGACTTAAATCTAAAGAGAAGGACCAGATAGCCACTACAGTTCTACTTATGGTGACAGGAATATCAGATATCGTTATGCATACAGTCTTCTCTTGAATAAAATGCCTGGTTCCTAGGAATCAGCTCAAGAACCTGTTCCGAGAAATCTCTGGACCTTCCCACGTGCCTGGCCTCTGTAAAGGCAGGAGCCACTTGTGGATGGTTTGCCTTATTTACCTCTGTACGTGTGGCATCCTGCCACGTGCCTGGTATACACCAGGGATTAAACAACGTTTACTGAGTGGAGGAGTTAAAAAAATTAAATTGTATCTGATCCTGATGAATCACTATATGTGGGGAGCAGCTATAGGGTTAAGCCTCGGACTGACCTGTTGGCAAAGTCACAAACAAGTCCCAGCTTAGAGGGCACAGTCATCTTAGCATATTTAAGCTTGACCTTATGACCTCCCTAGATCTTATCTGGGAAGCTAATGGGCTGCTGGAAGTGCAGGAAGAACAAGAACAAAAACAAGTGACACTCACAAGAACAGTGTAACTATGGAAACCACTACCTTGTTTACCTCTGACTATAAAATAAAGGCTCAGCTTGCCTGGGGATCTTTCTCTGTGACCTCAGCCAGGCCCCAGGAAGCTCCACGGAGACTAAAGAGAGCTAGAGGGTTCTGAACGCTGTCTCCGTGTAAAACATTCTTCGCCAACTCCATCCACACCTTTGGGAACCCCTGGACCCCCGGGGCTGGACCCCAGCAACTATATATAAATGTAATAAGTATAAAAATAAAATAAGTTGTCACTAGTTTTTATAGTAAAGCTTATGTTTTGTAGATGGAAAGTATCACAAGCAAATTAAAATAGAGGAGAATGCAACAGGATTCAGTTATGAGTCGCTTTTTCAAGAATACCTTAATGAGACAGTGAGAGAAGTTTGGATAGAAGACCCTTATATTAGACATACTCATCAGGTAAGTGTAACCCACTAACATGTGATGGAATGTTATTTAAAATGTGCAAGGTAGTAGTAACCCATCCTAATGTCTTTCAGCTGTATAACTTCCTTCGATTTTGTGAGATGCTTATCAAGAAACCATGTAAAGTACAAACCATTCATCTTCTGACCTCCCTGGATGAAGTAGGTATCTGAAGGCATTTACTCTTTCTTAACTTCATTTTATTCAGTCACAAGATTCAGTTCAAGCAAGGAAAACCTGGACATATGCTTCAGCTAGAGGTATTTCCTTGGGGTGAATTTATTTTCTAACGATGGGCATAAAACACCTTGAGAAAATGCTGTTGATTTTAGTGTCTTGTACCTTGCAATTGGCCAGCTTGCTAAACTTGATTTAAATAGTTTGTCAGTTTAGTCTCTTGCATGTTCTAAGAGACAGTCACACTGACTACACTGTTGACAATTTTGTGTGTGTTTTTTTCCCTACTAGTTGTCACGTGTATCTCTCTCTTTTTTTTTTTTTTAAATATATTTTATTGAGTTTTTACAGAGAGGAAAGGAGTGAGATAGAGAGTTAGAAACATCGATGAGAGAGAAACATCGACCAGCTGCCTCCTGCACACTCCCCACTGGGGATGTGCCTGCAACCAAGGTACATGCCCTTGACCGGAATCGAACCTGGGACCTTTCAGTCCGCAGGCCGACGCTCTATCCACTGAGCCAAACCAGTTTCGGCACGTGTATCTCTTTTCCTTGATTGATTGCATTGGCATTCTGGGGAATCATAGCATGGTAGTGGGCATCTCTCTCTTGATTTTGACTTAACATAGGAATGTTCTAAATAATTCAGATGTCTAGGATTAATTTGAAAATAAGCCAGTTCCATCTAAATAACTAAACAGCATTACTATAAATATATTTTAGGAGATAGGACAGAGTTATGTCCACATTAGAAAAAAACAATTCTTCTGATAAAAACAATTGCTCATAAACTACATCATATTCTTTGCTGGCTTCATTGAGATTAATAGACATTGAAACTAGTGTAGAATTTTTCCATTTTATTTTATTTTTTAATCTTTCCATTTTAATTCACCTATGATACACATTGCATAGCTCAGGGATAATTTAAAATATTAATAACTGAGTCAGAAAATGATATTTTTTCCTATTAATAGGGCTTTGGGAAAGCACAGCAAATTAGTGGCCTGGAAGAAATAAAAGCATCACTTAGGAATCATGGAGTGCTGTTGGAATTAGAATATTCTTCTTCCATACATGACCGAGAAATTAGGTTAGTATATAGTAATATTTTAACTTTTATGCAGTTGAAAAATACTATTTTTATTTTTCTTAAGTTGTATATAATTGCACATAAATATTTCATTTAAATATTGAACTTTTTAAATAAAGCTCAGTTCTAGTATCTTTTCACTTTTGAAGAAAAAAAAAAGTCTGGCTTATTTTGTCCTGTATGTGTTTCGTATTTCCTGATGCAATAAAATTTACATGTTCTATGTCATGTAAGAAGAGGAAGTACTTTTCTCTTCTTACATGACAATTATACATATTGTGTTATGGTATTGAGAGAATTTATTTCCATTTATGTGATACTGATATTTATTTAATGTGGCTTTATTTCTTACACTTTATAAAATATTCTAGTAGGCATGCCAGTATACTGTGTCCATAAAGAAACAGTATATGCAGTTTTTTTAGTGGTATGTTCCCTGTGTTTAGCACAGTGCCTTTCATATGTTTGCTAGAGGCCCGGTGCACAAATTCATGCACAGGTGGGGTCTGGGTGGCTGCCCCGGTGGGGTTTTGGGGGCTGATCGGGGCCTGGATCAGGCTGGTTGGCTGCCGCAGTGCGCGTCATAGCCACCATTCATTCTGCCATTCCAGTCACTGGGCTTTTATATATATAGACATCAATGGCACCCCCAATCTTAGAAAAAACTTAAGCACAACCTAAATGCAAAACCGATGACAATGCAGCTGCTGTGGTTGAAGCAGACAGAGGTCAGGATCCACAGCTCTTCCTGCTTATGCCCCCCTGAACCACCACCACAACCTGCCTGAGTATACTTTGAAACCAGGTGTTGGCAGAACAGGAAAGTTTTATCAGCAGCAAGCTGAAATTCAAGAGTAAGTTTTTTATCCTTACCCAAGGATATGTTTATTGATTTTAGAGAGAGAAGGGGGAGAGAGAGAAAGAGAGACAGAGAGAAAGAGAAAGAAACATTGATGTGAGAAACATCAATCATTTGCATCTTTTACATGCCCCGTCCAGGGATCTTACCTGAAACCTGGGCATGGGCCCTGACCAGAAGTCGAACCCACAACCTTTTGGTGTATGGGATGATGCTCCAACTGAGCCACCTGGCCAGGGCTCAAGAGTAAGTTTTAATGTAATTGTTAAACTCTTTTAATCACTTAATCAAATCAACCCATGGTTTCTCTGAATGTTTTGTTTCATTGTAGACACAGCCCATGAGTTACCCCAGGTTTGGTTCAACTCGTGCTACTGGAGGAAATGGTTTTCTTTTGGGGGGAGATTTGCTGACACTTCATACCCTACAACTTTGCTAATTGTCTGGCATAACTTTCTGGAATATTATACTATATACTTATTTCAATAGGTTCAACAATGGATGGATGATTAAGATTGGAAGGGGACTGGATTATTTTAAGAAACCACAGGTATGATATAGCCTTATGGGTAGGTAGCACTCTTTTTGTATCATTTTAGCATGGCTTTGGTTCTTTGTTAAAAAATTCTTTTCTTCTCTTCTTAGGGTCGTTTTTCCCTTGGATATTGTGATTTTGATTTAAGACCATGTCATGAAACAACAGTGGACATTTTTCATAACAGGCACACAAAAAAAATATGATGGGCAGTAGCTTAATTTACAGTGTATATTTCTATTTTAAGTGAATATTAGATTTTTTTATACTTTGGACATATTATTCCTATAAAATGTGAATTTAATAAACTTGTACATTCCTACTAATTTATGGATTCATTATTCAGTTGTGACCAATCTTAAATATCTTTGTAAATACATTACTTAGATTTACAGCGTTTTAAGTCGTACAGTTAATTTAAACATTTTACCAGCTTTTCTACTACTTGAGTGTTGGAGAGTAAATAAACAAATAATGAGTACCATCTGTCATAAAGATGAACTGGATATTATATTGCCCCTGGGAATTTAGAGTCCAGGAGGAAAAAATATGGAGAAGAGTATTCTTAAGAGACAGATGGGCTTGTGGGTTTAATATCCAGGAAAAAAAGTACAATGCTAATTTTGTTAAAATTAAATGTCTTTGGCAGACAGACACTCACCAATATTTACGTATCCACCATTACCTAACTCCATAAAGGCAAACCCACTTATTTAGTTATCCAGATACATTTTGCAGCTGGCACATTTATAAAGATTTGCAATTTAGAATCAATTGTTCTGGGTAAGCTCTTCCGTCAAGATGCCAGTTGACTGGTTGGGAACAAAGACTAGGTTGTATGGCCCTAGCTGGTTTGGCTCAGTGGATAGAGTATTGGCCTGTGGACTGAAAGGTCCTGGTTTTGATTCTGGTCAAGGGCAGATGCCCAGGTTGTGGGCTTTATCCCCAGTGGGGGGCATGCACAAGGCAGCCAATCAATAATTCTCATCATTGATTCTCTCTCCTTCCCTCTCTGAAATCAATAAAAAAAATATATTTTAAAAAGCATCCTCTTTAAAAAAAAGAAAAAGATTAGGTTATATGGAGTTAGACTAGGAGAGTGGGTACAGGTAGAAGCAATGGGCAGTCCAGAAGCTTACTAGTAAAGACTAAGTTAACCCAGAGTCTACAGAGAGAAATAGAAGTACTGGTGTTAAAGAGTGCTCATATAAACATCACATCAGGAGAAAAATTGAAAATTAAATTCAAAATTAAATAGTGTGGAAGACCACAGCCAGGTGGAAGGAGCCATGGTACTAAGGTTGAGCATAGTAGCCCTGGGTGTCTTTAGACACCAGGTTTGCTTTACCTTTGTGAGCCAGCAGGCACATGATTGAGTTGGCATAAAAGAACAAGAAGGGGTTCCAGAAAAGTTCCTGATGTTCTTTGATGTTTTCAGGTTCAGGTGCTGATAGTGCTGAACCTGAAAATACTCAAATTAGTTTTGCCCAACTTTATTATGTGTCACTGGTGAAGGGGTTCTTGTACCCCCTCTTCTCCCAAGATGGAAATCAAGAGAGGAGGTGAAACATTCCAAAAAAGAGGTTTACTGAAAACAAGGTGGAGGCAAAGGGGAGAGGGAGGGAGCTTGATGCGTCAAGGAAGCACACACTAATGAAGGTGGCTTGCGGAACTGCTGTTGGGGTCTGGCTTATATAGGGCTTGGTTCTTCATTCAGGCACACTTCCCAGTTATTTATGCATTCATTGGTCAATTCTTGTATGTTCCCTGGCCAGGGATCGAACCCACAAACTTGGCATATAGGGACAACTCTAACCGACTGAGCTACCTGGCCAGGGAAGTGACGTTACTCTTTTCTAGAAGTTTGGTAATGAAGAAATAGAGCAAGAGAGTTGCGTTCACTCACTATGGGTAAGGATCCAGTAAAAGCCACGAGAAAATACCAAAAAAAAAAAAAAGAAAAAGATAAATATTCGATAGTACAAGGCCCAAATAGGCTGGAGAGGACAAAATCTAGGGTACAGTTAGAGAGGTTAGGTTTAAGAAAAAGGAGGTTATTTCTTTCTCTGAGAGTGGATGAAATGAGAAATACAGTGGGGCCTTGACTTACGGGTGTCCCGACTAATGAGTTTTTTGAGATGCCAGCTGTCTCTCAGCCGATTTTTTGCATTGAGTTGATAGAGTAATTTAACGAGCTCCTTAATGAGCTCGGTCTCGGAACGAATTAAACTCACTCAATTATTAACTCCTAAGTCAAGGCCCCACTGTATTGAAATAGACAACATGAGGGACTAAAGGCATTCATTTCTGAAGACGTCTGCTATCACATCATGAGTCAAGGTTTGTGACAAAAATAAGAGTAGTGGAATTCTGAGCTGAAGTAGAGTGAAAACATTTAGGAATAATGCCTCTGAAAAATGATAGGGAGTCAACGGATGAGTTGAATCTGACACCACAGAAAAAAGAAACACAAATTGAAAACTACATATGAATTGGGTTCATGTGAATTTTCTTCCCATTTCGGCATAGGAGTAAAAAAATCAATTGTTGGAATTTAAAACAGGCTTGATTTAATGGGAGAGGATGGAAGGATAAGATGTAACTAAAAGGGAGAATTTTAGAGTTTAAGGTATCAGAGGTAGCAAGAAGCCTGCGTTGTATTCCCCAGAAGTAAGGAAAAGAATGAAGGTCAGAGTGTCCGATATGGTAAACATTCCCAAGATGGTAACAAGCAGGAGCTAAAATATAAATGCAAGCCAGGTATTAAAATCAGTGCGGAAAGAGACAGAGTATCCTGGAGGTCAGTAGGAAATATGGACAAGGATAGGGGATAGACACAAATGGGGAGAAGTTACTCAGAGAGACTAGACCCTTTTAGTTTTAAGAGATACACAATGCACATTAAAAATTTTTATTTTCTCACTGAACCTGCCAATATTAACTTTACTTGCAATCACATTATTCCCTTAAGTTTTTCACAGACAATATTCCATTTACTGTGTACTTCATCGTCTTCCGGACATGTTTCATGTAAGACATTTGTTAGCATAGTAGTTTCAACTGGGCAGAACTTACTGCCAATAAAAGTTGAATTTAATTTGTCACATATTTTCCGTGGCAACCAATGATCAGGGGCTTCAATGTTACAGATTTCAATTCTCCCCTTCTTTACATCTATGAGTACTTTAATTTCCAAGAGTGACTGTTCATGTAACACATTAAAGGAAGTTATTACACTGAACTTCGGAGTTGTGCCGTAGATCCATTCCCAAGTTTGTAGTTCTTTGGCTTTGCTATTTATTCCAGGAAACCGTGTCTCATCTGCTGGGTTTATCAAGTTGATGTGATTCTCAATGTGATGACAAGCAGCATACTCTGCCGCAATAGCATCTGTCAGTATTTCACAGGTCAGAGTGGGGTCTTTTTCCAACAGACTTTTTACTACGGAAGGTATGCTAGCAGTTGCATTGCTCTTGATCCCTTGGTAAGGGCTCTTGAGCAAAGACGACAAGAGGGTCTCATCAATACTATATAACAAAGTGCAATGGTGATAAGCAGTCGTCCGGCCAATCTTAGAAGCTGTTCCTGAGATTTTAAACTGTCCGTCAAGTAAAAGGTCAAACCTTTTGGTAGGCTGCACATCCAGCTGGGGTTGGACAGCGTTCAGAGCTCTCACAACTAACTTTAGATTTTCCATCCTATTGTACATTTTTTTGGCTGTAAAAAAAGTCAAATTGATATTGCCCATATCATGGTAAACTGTGCCTCCTCCACTTTTTCTCCGAGCCAGTTTTACACCTTTTTCTCTCATCAGATTCAGGTTACATTCCTGCCAAGGATTTTGATGCCTACCAATTACAACAGAGGGGGAATTTCTCCAAAATAACAGGATCGGCTTGCTTTCTAGGTTCACATGGTCATGGATCCAGTCTTCCAGAGCCAGATTTTGGTAAACATCATTGGAAACTGACTGTAAAATGAGCCCTCTTTTTACTGTGTTTTTAAAGCCAGTTGCTGGGACCTTGAAGTTACAAAATAACTGTAAGCAGTTCTTTGAAAATGGGATCAGCATGCTTTTAAAGATGGGAGACAAACAAATTAATTGGTTGAGAAAAGGAAAACTGTTTTTCTTTCTTGGTTATTTAATCCAAACTTATCTAATTCTCTATCCAGGACAGTTGCTTTTCTTGCCTTTTAGCTTTACCATTTGTCTTTAGCAATTCGACAAGAGAGACCTAGAAATAAATGAAGACAAACCTCAAATCATTTCCGTTGAAATGGCATAGGAGCACAGATTTTGCAAACAAATTTTCAAATATATAATATATCTCAAAGCCAAACCAGTTATTTTGAATTTATAAGTTCATTGAGAAAAATGAGAATATTAGAGTTAAGTAAAAAGAGCAAACTAAAAGACTCCATACTACCACCTGGAGATAATCACAATTTACAATCTGGTGTGTACTCATTTTTCTCTGTGCATTGTAAACACACACACTTTTCTCCACAGAAGTGGAACCGTACTATTATTTCATTCAATGTTAAATCTGTTTTCACATCAGCTTTAATGTTGTGTAATATTCCATTGTCAGATATATCATAGTTTACTCAATCTTAGTTTGTAATTTAGGTTGTTTCTAGTTTTTCTGTTATCAGCAATGTATTCATGAACATCTCTGTGGAAAGCTTTATGCTATTATAATACTTTAGTTGACTGATTTACTGGCAACATAACTCATTCAGATCAATATTCGATTAGGATGGACCCCCTGAGATCAAAGGGAGAGGCAATCTGATTAGCAGGAACAATCTATATATATAAAAGCCTAAGGAACCGGCCAACTGCCCCACTGGCCAGTAGCTATGACACACAATGCCCAACAGGGGGCAGACGCTCCATGCAGGAGCTGCCGAGCCACAGTAACTTGGCAGCTGCGGTTCTTGGATGATGCACCCAGAACCAGAGAGGAGGGAGCCTGATTCTGGGGTGCATCACCCAAGAACTGCCCTCTCACAATCTGGGACCCATCGGGGGATGTCAGAGAGCCGGTTTTGGCCTGATCCTTGCAGGCCAGGCCGAGGGACCCCACTGGTACATGAATCTGTGCACCAGCCCTCTAGTTTTATTATGTTTGGACACTATATTTTTTTTTTTTTTTTAGCAGTGCTTATTAAATATTAGGTGGCAATGGGCTGAAAATACTAGCTACACCAATTAAGTATTTTGACTAGTTATGGTCATAAAGAAACCATTCTGTCCCAATTCTGTTTCTTAGGATAGCCATAATTTTTCTTTAGGTCAAAGATAGAATGAATTATTAAAGTCCAAAAGTAGGCCAAAGTCTTTTGTAGTTAGGTAATGTCCTAGAAGCACAATTCCCAAGTTAAAGAGTTTCAGATTTTCATCACTCTTGATATATTTTGATAAATTATGCTACAGAAAAGTTGGGCCAATTTACACCAGAGAGGTCAGGCTAGTTTAATAGAGGAAGGGATACTTGAACTGTCTTGAAATCTGTTGGTGTTTACCAAGTGGATGGGAGTAGCATATTCCAGACATAAAAAGACAAGGAGCCGAAACCGGTTTGGCTCAGTGGATAGAGCGTCGGCTTGCGGACTGAAGGGTCCCGGGTTCGATTCCGGTCAAGGGCATGTACCTGGGTTGCGGGCGCATCCCCAGTGGGGAGTGTGCAGGAGGCAGCTGATCGATGTTTCTGACTCTCTATCTCTCTCCCTTCCTCTCTGTAAAAAATCAATTAAAAAAAAAAAAGACAAGGAGTCATATAAAAGTAAGGCATGTTTTGGAGACTCCCTCCCCAGGGAAAGACTTACACTTCTAGTCTTTTGGCTCCACTGACGTCTATGGCTATATTGCCTTAGGAAGTCCCTTCTTTGGTTAAACCCTTGTTCTTGATTCTGTTTGACTGAGTTTGATATAGTCCCTCATTCACTCAACCAGTATTTATGGAGTGCCTACTAGATACAAAGCCGTAAGGGAACAGAGGGAGGGAGGAGGCAAATTCATGTGATCCTAAAACATTTGGACTTTTTCTCAAAGCAGCTGCGATTTATTGAAGTGTTTTAAGCAGGCAGGGGTTAAGTCAGGCATTAAACAGAACTACCACTGCCAGCAGTGTTGAGCATGGATTAAAGAAAAGCTAGATCAGGGGTAGGGAGACCAGTTAATAGACTTCTGAAGTTGTCCAAGTTAGAGATAATGAGGGCCTGAACTAGGGTACACATAAAGAAGGGGATGAATATGAGAGACATTTAAGGTCATACAGTGGTTTTTGTCTTCCAAGAACTCAAAAATCTAATGGGAGATACTAAAAAGCAATTAAAGCAATGATTAAAATATATCTATACATATAAAAGCCTATGCAAAGTGTCCCCTCGACCGACCGGGAGTTCAATCACTTGCTATGATGTGCACTGATCACCGGGGGGGGGGGGGTGACACGGAACAAAAGAAGGCTCCGGCTGGCAGCCAGCAGCTGCTAGGGATCCTACCTGTGCACAAATTTTGTGCACTAAGCCTCTAGTAGTGTCATAAGTGCTGTGATAGGGTATGTACACCAGAGGGCCATCTATTCCTCAAATTAGTGCAAGTGATATTGAAGCTGAGATATAAAAGGGATAAGGAAAAGTATTACAACAAAATATAACAGCCTGGAGGAAAAAAAGACCCATTCAAAGAATTCAAAAAATTGAATTCCATTGGCTTATACTTAAGATGCACAAAACCGCTGGACTTAAGAGTGCAAGAGCCCTAGCCGGTTTGGCTCAGTGGATAGAGCAGTGGCCCTCAGACTGAGGGGTCCTGTGTTCGATTCCAGTCAAGGGCATGTACCTCGGTTGCAGGCTCGATCGCTGGCTCTGGTCAGGGCACATGCAGGAGGCAACCAATCGACATCGATGTTTCTCTGTCTCTCCCCCTCCCTTCCACTCTCTCTAATAATCAATGGTGGTGGTGGAGGGGGTGGGGGGAGAGTGCAAGAAAGGAGAGTTGCAAGAGATAGAAGGCTGGAGAAGTAGAGGTTAGATAAGGAAGAGACTTGAAATGTGTGTTAAATGCATAACTTAATCCTGAGGGCCATGGAGGAGGTGCTGAAGAGTTTTAAGAAAGCAGAAAGATCACATTTATACTTCAGAGACACACCCTAGAGCAGTGATGGCGAACCGTTTGAGCTCGGCGTGTCAGCATTTTGAAAAACCCTAACTTAACTCTGGTGCCATGTCACATATAGAAATTTTTTGATATCTGCAGCCATAGTAAAACAAAGACTTATATTTTTGATATTTACTTTATATATTTAAATGCCATTTAACAAAGAAAAGTCAACCAAAAAAATGAGTTCGCGTGTCACCTCTGACACGTGTGCCATAGGTTCCCCATCACTACCCTAGAGATTTAAGCATAGAGAATCTATAATACTTGGTAAGTGGCATCAACTATAGGACAGGCATTGGTCTTAGCATGTGGGGTTCATTAGTGAACCAAATAAATAAAAGTGAATAGGGCTATAGGAAAAAAAGAAAAGTAAGGCTTGGAAAGGGAAGACTGTATATTTAAGAGGAACTGGGCTGATATTTAAATAGGTTTGTCAGGCTTAGCTTCATTTAAAAAGTGACATTTGGGGGAAAAAAGAGAGAATAAAACAAAACAGGGAAAAAAAAGAATAAAACAAAACAACAACAACAAAGAAACAAACAAAAACTTTAAAAAGTGACATCTGAGCCAGGACTGAGAGCGCCGAGGGAGTTAGGCTGAGCGCCTACGGGCCAGAAACTGCTCTAGGCAACTGAACGCAACAGGCGGCCCCTGTGAGGAGGTAACGTTCCCAGCTGCGCCCTGGACGAGAAGCAGCAGAGGGAGAAGAAGTGGAAACAAAGGGATGTCTGGGAAACACACACAACTTGTAATCCTATTCATTAGTTACAAAGAGAACCGTAGGCTGTCGAAGGGATATTCAGATCAGCCTCTCCCTCCTGTGGTAATGCTGCTTGGTGAACACAGAATCCGAATAAAAGGAGTGAGCTGTGCGATCTCAGTGTCTGATGGGATGAGCCCTTTGGAAATCGCATTCTCAACTCCCGGGCTCTGCAGAGCTCCCTGGATGAAAGCCAGGCCTCCCTCCCTCTCGGGTGGGCTCGGTTGCACCTCCCTTTCATTCCATCTTCAGAAGGCGTGGTGCTCCGACTGAATGACACTCTTTCTTTCATCGTCAGGATATAATCAAGTCTTGAAGGCCCGGTTTCTTCCCACTAACTTTGCATATCTCCACTCTCACCTTGCACTGATGGACTTTATAGTGTTTCCTCAGGGGACACGCTTATTCCCATGTTCCAGGGGACACTCTGCCTTGCCAGACAGGCTTCGCTTCATCACCAACCACAAAGCAAACAGCAACAGTCACACTTACCCACCCAGGCTGGCCCGGCCCCTGCAGGGCACGTCTCCGAGCTACCCTGCCCTTTCTGGCGGCGCGGCGCTGACCCAGAGCCTCAGGACGGTCCTGTGCACGTGTTATTTCGCCTCTCCGACTCGGGGATGGCACCCAGCGCGTTTTAGTTTTCACCCTCGGATACCGGGGAGAGACCTTTCCAACCGTGGAGCTAGCTACTCGCAGGGGCTGGGCGCAAACCGCAGCGCCTCCAGCAGCTGCGCGGGTCCCGGCCTGGGGCCCCCCATCTTCCCGCCCGCCCCGGCTAGCGGCGCCCCAGAACCACGCGGCCGGGGTATCCCACCTGCTGCTCCCCGTCGCGCGGATTCGTGCGGGGGACGCACTGCCGTCTCCCCGGCTTGCAGGCTGCGCGCACGGCGGCCCCCGCCCCGCCCCGGAAGTGGCGCTAAGAGCCACCGGAAGTGCCCAGAAGAGCTGGGCTTTACTCTGCCCCGCGCTCGGGGCGGGTCTGCGTGACCCGGGAGGATTTTGAGGGACCTGGGAGTGGCCGAGCCCGCGCCAGACCGGACGAGAGGCCGGGACGCGGGTACGACCCGCCCCCAGAGCCGGCAGCTCAGACGGACACGCGCTGCGTGACAGCCGGAGCGAAGGCGGGAGGGGCGGCCGTGCCTGGCTGGAGCGGGCACTTCGGGGCGAGTGTGGGCACGGCGCCCAGACACCCAGGGCACCCGGGGCACCCGCCAGGCCCGGTGCCAACAAGTCAGTCCTTTTCCTGCGCGGCCAGGCATTGCACCGGGTCCCTAAACGGTCTCCTCGCCACGCCCCAACGGCAGGCAACTCCACTTGGGAGGCGAGGAAACGAAAGTCAGGTGGGAAAGACATTGCATTTAAAGGAACAAACCCTGTACTATGTATATATATCACACATATATATTAAATAATATACATATATGTATATATACATATGTATTGTATATACATTATATATGTATATATTATTGTATATGTACATATACAATAATATACATCTATATACATAATATACATATATAAAATATATTTTTTTAGTATGGAAAATTTACTTATCAGAAACAATAACACTCCAAAAAGTGCTTCCTTGAGGATTCCACTTATGGAAGCCTCCCCCCAAACAAACACCTAAGTGACTAAACTTGTCCCGTTGTTCCCCTTTCAGGAAGTCTGGGATTTCCCTTCCCAGGTGTGCTGTCCAGTTCACGGCTTGGCTGGGATTTGGGGATCCCAATCTTATGACGTCTTAGTGGCCGTGGTGCTGGATGAGGGTAATTAATGTCTGTCTTTTTTGTCGTCTCAGTGACTGGGTGTGCTACTTACTACATTCGACATTCTGCAGGGGCACCCGGCATCGCACACAAGGAAAGATCATCCCCAATTCAACATCCGATACAAATATCCAGTGTCCTGCTGGACACTGTGGACGTGGAACACCAGTCTGTCAATGCCTGAGTGAAGTCCCCCCCCCCTTTTTTTTCCTCTAAGTGGTTTTGCTAAGGTCACTGGTGACATTCATGTTGTCAGATCCAATGGACTTTTCAGTCCTCCTCTAACCTTTCAGTTGACGCCCTCCACCTTAACGACTCCTGTGGGCAATCCTGACATTTCCCCGCCTTGGTTTTCCGCCAACCTCACTGCCCACTCTCGGCCCCCTTCGCCAGCTCCCCCTGCGCTGACCAGCTCCTAAATCAGTGATGGTGAACCTTTGGAGCTCGGCGTGTCAGCATTTTGAAAAACCCTAACTTAACTCTGGTGCCGTGTCACATACAGAAATTTTTTGACGTTTGCAACCATAGTAAAACAAAGATATTTTTGATATTTATTTTATATATTTAAATGCCATTTAACAAAGAAAAAGCAACCAAAAAAATGAGTTCGCGTGTCAGAGGTTCGCCATCACTGTCTAAATGTTGGAGTTTTTCACGACTTGATCTCAAACTATAGGTTCACCTTAAGCCATATCATTCATGCCCATGGCTCTAAATAGCATTTCCTCGAAACGTTTATGTTTAGCCCCATCCATTATTACTTGCCTTGGAAACCCGGGATGTCCAAAAAGCGTGCCCCGAGCATACCCGTTCCCCAGGAACCTCCATGCATTTAGCCTTTTTTTGCTAGAAACTTCTTTTTCCTCACTCGCCACTTTCAAACCATCTGTGCATCCTGCCCAACTTCACCTGGACTACATACCCTTCTTACCACTTCAATCAGCACCATCATCTCACTTGGACAACCACGTCCCTGCAAAAGCTACACCTGTCATGTCCTCAGGGAAGCCTTTCTAGTTCCATTATGAAAAATCAAGTTTATGTGTTACGCCTCCTCATCTGTCTCTCTGAACATTTTACTTTTTCTTCTTGGCATACCACAAGTTGTACCTTACATATTTACTACCTGATGTTCTATTTCTCCGTAGCCAGACAGTAAGCACTGTAAAGGCCGTAGCTATTTTACTCGCCACTATATCCCCAGCACTGAGTACAGTGCCAGGTTAGGGGAACAAGTGAATGGGTTGTGTATTTGTTCTCTTTCAAACAATTCAGATTAGGTGAACAAATGAATGATTTGTGTATTTTCTCTCTCCCAAAGAATTATGTTCTGTAAATGATAAAAAGCATCATCTTATTGGTTAGGTCCCATTCAACATCTTTTTTTTTTTTTTAACTCCTGGTTTAGTACTGTTTAATTTATAAAATATTGCTTCCCCTTAAAGAAGCCTTTTCCTTTTGGTTTATTTTGAGAATATGAAGGAGATTACTCAATTGGGCATTAGAGATAGTCATTAAATATTAAAATACAGGAAAATGTTCAAAACATACATAATACAGTTACAACTCATTATATGTCCAGATACAAAATGGTTTTAATTTCATCTAGCATTATTTGAGACAATACTGCCGTTTCAAACTACTACATATTTCAAGAAGAATGGCAAAATGATATATATTAAACAATAATTTTAAGGCTATTATCTTATGTTAAATATTGGTGCTATAAAATGGTTGCAATTGTAAGATAAACTACTACACTTTGAAATAACTATGTTGTAGTTCTGAAAGGAATTCGATGTGGAGAAAATAATAACAGTTTAAAAGGATGATTTAAAATGTGAAATGCTTATCAAAGTATGCAATTTACTGTGGGATTTTTTTTGCATATTTTACCTAGAGTGAATGTCTATATAACAGAAATGCAGAAATGTAGAAAGATAAAGTCCCCTTAAGCAAAATTCCAAACTGGAAATCTAACATACAAAATTGGTACACAAGAAATAGTGTGACATAATGATGTCAAATTGTTTGGGTACTGTTTCATGTTTTTTGATTACTAGTTAAATACTTTATCATTAATATGGTTTAGTGCCATTTAAATACTTTTAGTCAAAACTCTGATTTTGACAAGGAGAATACCAGAGAAATCTACTTTGAATTTTGGAAAGCTTTTTCTCCCTAAAGCAACTGTTTTGAGTAAAAAAATGCAGTCTACGGTGATTTATCAACAGTGGGGGGAAAAAGCAAACATCTTCCTTCATTTTGTTAGGTTTTCCTATTGAGGTTAAGTTCTCAATCAATATGCCCTCTTAGTCAAAAGCAAGTTTTGATTTCTGTGGTAATAGGTACAAACAACTTCATTCCACATCTGTCATTTCTATTCCATCACTTTCTTTAACATAAACCACTGAACCCACGGCTTTCTCGGAAAGAGAGCCTGGACCAGTCTCTTTCTCTCTTGTAAGGTTTTCTTGGTTTGGGTCTTCTAATCTTATTTTCTTAGTGTTTTGAAATAACTGGGTTACTGGTTCCAGCTTGCTTTTCTCAGTCCCTTGCATTAAGTGATCGTCCACTTTTGCATCCATACACATAGCAGATAACTGAGTAGCAGATTTACTAACAGAAAATCCCATGGGAAGAGCTGAATAAATATAGGGGTGGAAACGTTTCTTCAACTTGATTGCTTCAACTTGATTGCTTGAGAAAAAAAAAAAATGGAAACAAGTGAATACAGTGGGAATTTCAACCAACTTCATGGCACTGTTCGTGTTAATGGAATATCATGGTGATGGATCCATAAATATAAAGTAAAACACTCCTTCATCTCAGTGTTTACCTTTTCTCTGTGGGAGGGATCACAGATTCTATAGATTCTTTGAAAGTGTTTTAAAAAGAATTGATCAGATTTTATGTTTCAGCACTTTTCAGAAAATAGAACTTCTCTACTTAGCCCTTTCTATCATTCTTGCTGTCAAAAATTTTAATTAATTATTAATGGGTTAAAGTAATAATTACTGAAGTCCAAACACTTTGCTAGTTGTTCTCTAAAAAATAAAGATGGCCAAACAATTATAAACATTTACCAAATAATAACACACCATCAAAACATATGAGGCAAAAACAGACAGAACTGAAGGGAGAGATAGTTCTGCACTAACAGTTGGAAACTTCAATACTCAACTCTTAATAATGGGTAGAACAACCAGACAGAATACAAGAAAATATGAAAACCAATTAAAATAAGTAGATTTACCAACATATATAGAACATTCCACTCAACAACATCAGCATACACATTCTTCTCCATACCCATGGGACATTTTCCAGGATGGACCACGTTTTAGGCTACAATATGGCTTTCAATAGATTTTAAAAGATAGATATACAAAGTATCTCCTCTGATTACAGTGGGATGATGTGAGAAATCAACCACAGAAGTAAAACAGGAAAATCCACAAATCTGGAAATTAAACAATACACTCTGAAACAACCAATGGATCAAATAAATCACAAGGGAAATTAGAAAATATGTACAGATGAAACTAAATAAAATAAATAAAAATGCAACATAAAAATTTATGGAATGCTGCAAAATCAGTGCTAATTTGGGAAATTTATAGCTATAAACACCTTAAACAAACAAGAAAGACCTCAAATTAACAACCTAACTTTACAACTTAAAGAACTATAAAAAGAACAAACTGAATCCATAGTTAACAGAAGGAAGGAAATAATAGAGATTAGAGCAGAGATAAATGAAATCAACACTAGAAAAATAATAGAAAAAATAAAATCTTTGAAACAAAAGTGGTTTCAAATGACAAATCAGAAATGAAAGTCGGGGACTTAACTGCTAATTCTACAGAAATAAGCATTATAGCCGAAACCGGTTTGGCTCAGTGGATAGAGCGTCGGCCTGCGGACTGAAAGGTCCCGGGTTCGATTCCGGTCAAGGGCATGTACCTGGGTTGCGGGCACATCCCCGGTAGGAGATGTGCAGGA